CTCAGGTCCTGAGGCAGAGTGTGGGGAATATCTGAGAAGCGGGCCAGGGAAGGTGAAGCAGTAAGGGAGGAAGAGAGACAACCAAAATGAGGTCTGGGTGGCTGGGAGTCAGCTTTTCTTTGGAAAGGGGAAGCCGTTGAGGGATTTAAGCAAAGATGAGACATGAGCTGACTTTCAAAAAATCCATCTGACCTCTGGGTAGACTTTGACTGCCCTTTGAGGTTAAAGGGGAGCAGGTGAGAGCCTCGTCACCTTCCTTCCTTGCCCCTAGTTTTGCATAACTCACGTGGAAGCATAAGCTGATGAAGCAAAATAGCAGAGCACTTATGGGGAAGTTTAGCATGGCCATCAAACTGAAGAAAGGGTTTTTCCTGAACACACCTCTATTTGTGTGAAATCCCTGTGCGAGAAGAGATGTGCCAGGCTCCTAACCAGCACAAACCACAGCCTTTCCTCACAGGGAGAGTCCCCAAAATATCTTAGGAAGTTATTAGGTAGGGTTTTTGAGACAAAAGAGAAAGGGGAGATAGAAAAGTCTTTAAGTGGCCATTTAACCTCAAATCTCTTAGTCTCAGAAACATATCCTCCTGCTGAGCAAGAGGGGGAAAGGAGGGCTGGTAGAGTGGCTCAAGTGGTAGAGTGCCTGCATAGCAAATGCAAAACACTGAGTTCAAAACCCAGCACCGCCAGAAAGAGAGAGAGAGAGAGAGAGAGAGAGAGAGAGGAGAGGGAAGAAGAGCAGGCACAAGGCCCAGGGTTATAGGGACATAGAAAGGGAATGGGGTGCACATGTGGTGGGTCCCAGACTCACACCCAAAACACGACATGGGCCTCAAGGCCACACCTCAGAGTTCCTGCCCCATTTTCCTGAGCTTGTTCTCTCAGACACTGGGCTTGAATAGTCTTGGAACAGAGGGCCAAGCCCCAAACAAATTGGACAACGAGCCAAACCATGGTCCTCCACACCCTAGCCTCGACCTACCTCTCTAGCCACCTCAAGTGATGCTAAGCTACTTTTGACCCATACAGGTACTGCCCTGAGTCACACTCTGAGATCCTTCACGCTGGTATTCTTGCTGCTGGAGAAATCCCTTTCACCTAGCTGACTCCTTAGGCTTTTCTATTTATCTAAGGTGTCACCTCCTCTAGGGATTCTTCCTTGAATCCCTGGCCAAAGTAAATGCTTCTCCCTTGTGCTTCCAGAGCCTCAGTGCTGACATCTAGAATTGCTCTCAACACCCTGTATGTTTCATGTCTGCCCCCAGCATTCCATACTCATGCACCATATTCACGATAAACTATGCTCTCCTCAAGGGAGAACCAAGCTGCAGTGAACTCTGTGGCCCTGTAGCCTCACACAAAGCCCAATACAGTAAGAGCTTACAAAGTGGGTTGAGCTGAAGCCACTGTCACATGGGTGCCTTCACAGGAGGAGGAGCTTCAAGTCTGGGGGAAGGAGATGCCTTACTCCATGGGGCACTGTCCAGAGAAAGGAGTGTAACCAGAACCCACCCCAGAGACCTAAGGGAAACACGACATAAATGCTCCAACAGGACAGGAAGTCTCCTGGGAGACTTCCTAGTAGAAAGAGCTTTCTATTAGAGGAGATCAGAGTCCTGCTTTCTCCGGGAAAGCCCCTGTCCCAATCTCTAACACCTAGGTCCTAATTGTCCCTCAAGACCCCACTAAAATACCATCCCCTGCATGAAGCCTCCTGTTGAAACCAGCATTTTAAACTCCAGGCTCCAATTCCTGGGATTCCACATGCCAGGTCTAACCACTCACCCATACACACCAAATAAAAAGATGGCAGGGGGCAGAGAAAAGAAGTTTATTACGCAGCACAGGCATGCCAGGAAGACAGTACTTCAGTTCGTCTTCAGCCATCTTCGGGGTACAGACATGACCGTTAAGTTGAAACAGACAAAGAATTGAGGGCAGAGAGAGAGATACTCATAATTAAATAGCCCTGATCACGGGTGGGTTCCAGTGGATCATTATCTCCATTCTTGTCTGGGAGGGGTTCTGAAGAAGTTGTTACCAAGTCATTGTTGCCTGGCAGGTGGCCTGTCCTGGAGAGGTTCTACTGTTCTTCAGGGGTAGTTTGGGTTCTTTGTCATAAAGATGCTATTTATTGATCAGCCCTGTCCTTCCTGGAACCCAAGATAATTGCAAAGTGACTGCAGAGAGACTAGCTTAGAGCAAAGGTGGATATAAAATGGAGGCAGGGATGCCAAGCTTTTCTCCTGCTTTTAATTTATTCATGGGCCTGAGTAAAAAGTCCATGTTTTTCAGCAAAAGCAGCTTTTACCACTAGTTACATCGTGATTGCCAAACCCTCTCCCAAGACAAGAAGTAATTTCGTCCTACCCAGAACTACCATGCCTTGCTTTGTATCTCTCAAGTGCATTCATCTGCTAACTAGTCACCAAGTCATTTATATCTAGACATGACCATCCATACTGAAGACTCTTTAAAAGCAAGGCAATTTTTATTTCTATTTGGGTCTCCATTGCCTGGCACAGACCAGGCACTCAGTCAACATCTGTTCGTTCATTCCATCAGCATTTGTTAAATAGCAACTACAAGGCAAGCCCAGTGGCTCTGGAATATCAAGATGAAGAAAACCATGGTCATGCCTTTAAAGAATTCATAGACTAGTGGTGTGCTAAGTAAATGAATGAAGGTAAGGGAGGGTGGATGGATGGATAGATGGATGGATTAATGCTGGATGGATGGATGGATGGATGGGTGTGGGAGTGAATGAATAACAAGTAACTGCAACAAAACCCTTTGCAGAAAGCCTCTTCCAGTTTCACATCAACCTTCTCCTTCAAATTTTTGAGAATCAAATCCATACTTGAAGTTTAAGAAAAAACTTGCAAATGACTGGTTTTCCATTTTTTTTTAAAACAAGAGTCTTCCTATGTCAACAAAAAATGCAAACACATCCATATGGCCACTTGCCTATCACTACATGGAGTCCGAGACACACATGAGCAAATCTCATGTGCGGCCTGACTTTACAGGATGAATCATTAGGTTCCACTGGGAGGCCCTGAGGCCTTCTAGAGCCCCCAGACTGGAGGCCCCACACTCCCTTTGCTCAAGGGCATGAGGATTGGGGCCCATCACCACCTACAGCTCCCTGATGGGTGACCTTGAGAAGCCCCAGCCTGCTTCCAACCCTAACTCCTCCTTTCCACCCCAGAAACTCAAAAGGGAGCCAACTGGGTATTTTCCCAAGGGAGAGGTGAGTGGTGGGTAAGTCAATGCTGCCTGACTGGCTGCAAAGGCTTCAAATGCTTCCTGTTCCAATGCAGACAATGCAGGGTGCAGAGCTGGGCTTATGAAGGATAGAGTCACCTCCTGGCAAAGGTCCCTGCTGGAGGACAGGGCCAAGGAGATTAACCCTTGACTACCCTGTCCCCCTGTTTTCTCAGAGGAAGAGAAGCTCCCAGCACACCTCAGGGTCTGCTCAAGGCTCCATGGGCAGGAACTGGCTGTAAGCAAACCCTGTACTCTCCTGTCTGCACAAAATCAGCCCATGGGCACTGCACTGAGGACCAAGATAATGAACTCCTCTGCAGGCAAGGTGTGAATTCGGCACCAGCAGGGGAAAGGCTCAGGTCAGGCTGCAGATAGGGAGCTGCACAGTCTGTCTCTAGGAAAGGGGAAAGTGTCTGCTCCAGGAATGTTGGAATTGGTCCAGGATAGAAACGGTATTCTCAAAGACTAGGCTCAAGCCCTCCCATCTGACCATCTTCTCCCCACTTGGCATTGCGCCAACCACAATCTCTAGGGTTGTCCCAACTGGGAAACAGCCCCCTTTGCTGCTCTCCCACCTCCACCATTCAGGGACTGTAACCTAGGCACCCCTTGGAGGCAGGAAGGGAGCAAAACCTGCCAGCTCCCGGAGAATCTTTTGGTGTTCCTCCAAACAACCAGACCCTGTGGGACCTTTGGGATTTAGCCCCATGCATGGAATTTCATAAATATAAAGGTTTTGCTAGACACGGAGTGTATGCTTTCTTCCTAAGCTCCACCACCCCATGTTCTCTACTCAGCAGAGGCCCCTGTACTGCCTCTCCTCACACCTGTCAGATGCTCCACACCTACAGACTTTGGCCCCTCCCTCCAGGCTCACTCCAGTTTCTTTTGGGTCCTTGTCCTGTAGTGGGCATACTTTGTGTGATTGTTGGTTGTCTCTTGAATAAGGACACCTGCTTGGTGAGCAGCCTACAGGCTCCCTACACTGCACTTCTGCCTCTGTAATCTGTTCACCTTAGAAATAGCGACCTGAGAAGTTGGTAGATGGCCTTGATCGGTACAGACAGATCTTTCAGTGTCTACCTTCCCCTAAATTATCTGGTACTGGGGTTTGAACTCATGGCCTTGTGCTTTCTAGACTGGTCCTCTATCCCTTGAGCCAGGGCCCTAGTCCACTCCACCCCCCCAAATTATCTAAATATGTGAGATTCTAGAGACTCCTGCCCAGGAAACAAAGACAGTTGTTGAGAATGAATGACAAAAGCATTTTATTAAAGACAGAGGGAATGAGCAGAGCTGAACGGGGCACCAAGCAGTTCTTGTCCTAACCTTGCAGAGCCGGTTGCTGCCAAGCGATGGAGACTGAGTTTGGTTCTGAAGCAGATGGATATCCAGGACCTGGTGGGGAGCAGCGTGGGGCTGGGAAGGGACATAAATGAGCCTGACAGTCCTGATCATTCTTTTCTCTGTCCATGGAAAGTGAAAGCTGACACCCTTCCTGTTCCAGGGGGGTTACCAGGCCCAGGTCAAGAAGAAGTTACCCAGCTCCAAAAGAGCAAGGTCCATGTCCCAGCCGAGAAAATGTTCCTAGAGCAGAAAGAGCTCAGGGCAGAGTGGAGATGACTCTGGCAAGGTAATCATCGGAAGAGAGGGTGGAGGTGAAGTGAAGGGAGCACAGAGACACCAGAGCCAGGCCTGGTTGGACACAGGGGCCTGCAGGGACCTTGTCTCTATCGCTGGGACCTCTTGGTCAGGGTGGTGGAAGAGATGATCTTACTGCTAGAGCCACCGCCAAACCCAAAGCCAATTCCAGAGCCAGAACCAAAACCACCACCCAGGCCAAATCCAGAGCTGCCTCCAAATCCTCCGCTGATGCCTCCTCCAGCACTGGCACCACCACTGACTACCGCTGCAGGAGAGACAAAGAACACAGTTACTCCCACAGCTCCAGCCACCCTCAGCCTAGATCAGGGTGAACAAATGGCCATGGGAGGGGCAGAAGTACTTACAGATGCTCACAGCACTCTGGCATTCCCCAGACATCCTGTGGGGAGAAAGAATCATGAACCGCAGCAATACCAAAGCCGCGCTTCCTTCATACATAGCACCTCTCCCATCCCAGCCGTGAGCAGCCAGATTCACATGGCCAACTGGTTCCTACTTTTTTTTTTTTTGGTGGGCTTGGGATTTGAACTCAGGGCTTCACATTTGCAAAGCAAACACTCTACTGCTTGAGTCACATCTCCTGTCCATTTCGCTCTGATTATTTTGGAGATGGGGTCTCTCAAACTATTTGCCTAGGCTGGCCTCAAACCACGATCCTTCCAACCTCAGACTCCCAAGTAGCTAGGATTACAGGTGTGAGCCACCAGCACCCAGTGCCCACCCCTGAATCCACCAAGTCCTGGTTCTTAATGCATCAGCACAGCACTGAAGCAAACATTCCAGCACAGTCCCAAAATCTGCATGCCATGTTCCTGCCCTGCCTCTCCCTCACCTGCACTCCTCGCCCTCCAGCAGCTTTCGGTAGGTTGCTATCTCCACGTCCAAGGCCAGCTTGACACTCATGAGTGTCTGGTACTCGTGCAGCATCCGGGCCAGCTCCTCTTTGGCCTTCTGCAGAGCTCCCTCCAACTCTGTACGCTTACTGTAGGCATCCTTGAGGGCCAGCTCCCCACGCTGTTCTGCATCAACCACAGATGCCTGCACAGTCTCGCACTGCGTACAAGGGTATTGGACAGGCAGCATTAATGCCCTGCTTTCAATATCTTCACTTATCTGTCCCTTCTGGGCCAACCCTTCCTTGGTTAAGATGTCAAGATTCTGTCTGTCCCTCTCCTCACCTTCCCTGACTTCTGGTATTTCATTTACTCCAGTCATGGCCTACCAATGTTTCCAACAGACTGAAAAGTTAAAGTGAGTAAAACTCAGTGAAGCAGAGCCAGGAAACCGGCATAGGAGGTTTCACGCCACATTAGCTAGGATACTGCTGAGGGATCTGGGTCTGACTTGTGTAATGAGTCACCAAGACCCTGCAGACAAACTCGGGGATCTTCTGATCCAGTGCTTTATCTCCATGTCCACCATAGCAGCATCTATCTCTCACTTGGCACTTCAGCTGGGAGGAGGCAACACCTACCTGCTTCTTGACATTCTCAATCTCAGCCCGGAGCCTCTGGATCATCCTGTTGAGCTCTGAAATCTCATTCTTGGTGCTCTTCAGGTTGTCGCCATGTTGGTCAACTGAGATCTGGAGCTGCTGGACCTAACAAGGAGCCAGGAGTCAAGGGCTTTAGGGTAGAGCCTGTGAGAGCAGCCATATTTGGCACAGATAACACAAAATACCAAGTAGTCCCAACCAGAGCAGGATCATTGATGTCTGGGGGAATCTGCTTGGCTGGAGCTGATGATCACCTCTTCGGGGAAGCTAAAAGCAGAGCCCAGACCACTCCCATCTCCTGAGACATCCTACCACTCACCTTGGTCTGGTACCAGGTCTCGACCTCAGCCTTACTCCTCTGGGCAATGTCCTCATATTGGGTGCGGACCTCAGCGATGATGCTGTCTAGATCCAGGTTCCGGTTGTTGTCCATGGACAGGACCACGGATGTGTCGGAGACATGTGTCTGTAGCTGGGACAGCTCCTGCAAGGCACATGTCTCACATCAGCCCTCAGGAGAGTCTCCTCCAACCTCTGACACCAAACTCCTATGAAAATGGCTATGATATAGAAGCAGAGTTGGCATTCCCAGTGTGCAAGGAGAGGGAAGCTTGTGAAATTTTTAAATGGAAATGAAGGGTTTGTTGGCTGAGGGTGTGGCTCAAGTGGTAGAGCACCTGCCCAGCAAGCAAGAGGCCCTGAGTTCACACCCCAGTATCACATACACACAAAAAATAAAAATAAAACATGAAGGATTGGTGACATATCAGGATGGAAAAGCAATGCCTCTAGTCTTTACTGCTCCCCAGGAACCATAAGCACTTCATATCTAGTGTGGTGTGGGTGCTTGGTGTGCTGGATGGAAGGAAATGAAATGGATCTATTTTACCAGAAAAAAAAAATGGTAGACAGCAATGAATCCTATCTCTTGCAATCTTTAGCTCTTATCACTTCTTTAAGACAACATCTGATTTTGAGAATCTCTCAGATGAATCTCCTACTTTACTCCAATCCTTTCTATGTATGGCTTTGACAAGTAAGGGGGTTGGAGTCCTTTCTAAGAGCTGTGAATCCCAATTCACAACCTCTTAGATGGCAGATTCCCTTTCCCTGAATGGATGGAGTCCTCACCGCTTCATAAAAGAGCCTCAGGAAGTTGATCTCATCATTAAGGCTATCCACCTTGGTCTCCAACTCAACCTTGTTTGTGTAGGCGGCATCCACATCCTGCAAAGGAAGAGGAGAAATAATGGGAGCAGGGGTGTCAATCAACACCTACTAGGAATAGCTACACAGAATCAGATGATCTGGTGAGGGACTAATTATTTGATATCTTCTGACCCTAAAGCCCCCTGAACACATGGAACTTAATTGTCCAAATAAGCTTTTTCTCTTAAGCTCAATTCCTTAGAACTTGGTCCACTGCCCACTTCCTTTGATGGCATACATCTGGATAATACCAAGTGAGGTGGAAATGAGGCAGAGATGAACAAAACTCAACACTCAAGCCAAGAACCACTCCCAATGGGGAGGGAACCTGGAAGCTTCTTCCCACTGGCCTCCATCTTTACCTTCTTGAGAACCACAAAGTCATTCTCCGCAGATGTGCGCTTGTTGATCTCATCTTCATATCTGGGGGTGGGGACAGGAAGGAGACGACAAAGCCCACAGTGAGCTAGTGTTTCTCGGATCTCTGCTGCTTGTTCCCAAATATCTAACTACTTGGAAATAGCCAGGTAATTAGGTTTGTTTCCCATGTCCATAAGAATTCATCCATTGTATATTTGTTGAGTAATTGCCATCTGTGAGATCAACAGTTTATTCAGAGACATAAAAATAAAACTTCAAAAAGACTATTTTCATGAGTTAAGATGTAAGGGGAAAAAATCAGCAATGTTCTAAAGGATTTTATCCTTTAGAAAGACTGTCCTTTTGGTCATTTTGGCAGATTAAATTCTCAGGAATGTTGCTCACACTCCAGTTCCCTTTGTTTGGTGTATAAATTGAGAGAAAGGATTGGGGTTTACTTTCTCAACCCAATTCTACAGTGAGAAAAGTAATAGCTACTATGTATTGTATGTTCTTATATTTCCAATACTACACTATGTCTTTTCTCTATCTCATTTCATTTAATTCTCACAGCCCGTAGGTAGTATATTATCCCCATTTTAAAGATTAAAAAATGTTATCCCCATTAAAGATTAAGGAAACCAAGCTCAGAGATGTTACACAATTTACCCAAGGTCACAAGCTAGTAAGTGAAGAATCAATATTCAAAGCAGCTCCATCTGTCTCTGTAATCTATATGCTTCTGACCATGCTATTCTGCTTTTCACCCATTTGGTTTCTTATCTTGCCTGTTCACTCCCTGAACCTATCACTAATTTTCTGTTTGGGGCAACTCGTGGTTACTAGGCCTCACCCTGTGAAAATATGACCATGTATGTACAGGGGACAGGTTTAGAGGACCTTCCTGGCTCCCTGGCAATCTCTTCAGAGCCTGAGATTCTAAACTACTAGAGAGGAGCCGGAGAGCCTGAGCCCTCCAGGCAGAGGTGTTGGAGGTCCTTCCTCCCTCTGACGTACTTGGTCTTGAAGTCCTCCACGCTATCCTGCATGATCTTCAGCTCAGACTGCAGGCGTCCTTTGTCATTGACCAATGTGTCTGCCTGCTTCCTTAGGGCAGTGATGTAGGTCTCAAAGAAGGAGTCCAGGTTTCTAGGGGATGTGGTGGTCGTCTGCTTCTGGAGGAGGTTCCATTTGGTCTCCAGGACCTTATTCTGTTGCTCCAAGAACCGCACCTGTATTATAAAAAAAAAAAAAAAAAAAAAGGCATCTGCCAACTGATGAGGGCCGGAAGCTTTCACAAGAGGAACACCAAGGCTAACACTAACCTGTGAATCCATGCAACCAGGCCACCTAACAGCCACCCAAATAGGCCACCACATTGCAACTCCAGAACACTATTCACTAGGATGTCCATGGTGGGCCAGTTTGGCTCCCTGGACTGTGGAAAATAGCATCAGGGCCCAGGAGTGCAGCAAAACTGGCTTCCTGACCATAATAACCCAACCCCCCCAGGGTGAGTTGCTAAAGAAGAACATGAAGCTTCTATGAAATAATCAAATAAAATAAAATCAGGAGCTTCAACCACAGTCTGGCAACTTCTGCATTCAAGTGATCCTGACCCAGGACAAAGAAAAGATAAGTTTGCTAAAGATTTTCAAAATAAGCTGATTTATCAATGGGTCTGGTGTGTCCCTATGAACCTGTGTACGTGGAGTATAGGTATTTATAGCCAAGGCCCCTAAATCGGTTCTGAGTCTCAGCTAGAATTCATTCAGTCAGGCACTTCTGTCTTTCTATGAAAGACCCAGTCAGACAAGACAAGGGAGCGGTTTAGCAAGACAGCTCCAGAATTAAAAGGAAAGCTGATGAAGGGGACTGATCACCTTCTGAACCCAAAAGGTGTGGTGAAGAGAGATGAAACAAGGAGGCACAAAGAAGCCTTAGTCTTGCTTCATGTCTGTCTGTGTGTCCTAGGGTCACACTAAAGCTTCCTTAAGCTACTACAGGTTTATTCAGACCAGCAAGAAGAGCAAAGGGGCCCACTCAGTCTACTCCATGGTGAGTCACTCTTGCTCCATACATCTAAGAAACCTAGGACCTCTTTTTAGAGGCATATATTAAATGTCATCATGACATTTCCATACATGAATATCATGTACTTGAATCATAGTTAGCTCCTCTGTTACTCTATTTCCCCACTGCTCCTCTTCCCTCCCCGCTTTCCCTTCCCCTTCCACCTCCCTAGTAGTCCAGGGGTCTAAGACTTTGATGCACTGAGACCCAGGAGAGCCTGGACCAAGTGCTATACTTGTCCCCATAGTCATTGAAGACTATGGGTGACTCCATTCTCTGGGCTGACCTGCTCACCATCATCCATCATGCTTAGCTGTCACTGAGCCTACACAACTTGAATGTCCAGACCTTGCATGAAAAAAGGAAGCTGGTCTATAAAAAGAAAAGATTGCCCCATCTCCTCTTCTTCTCAAACAGTCACAGAGATGAGCAGTTACCCCAAGACAAGAAAAGAGAGATCCCAGGGTCCTGTTGACACCTAGAGTCTGCCATGGACATCAGTCCCTTTTCTGTCTGCAAAAGCAATTTGGTTTTCTTCTGCCCCCAGAACAGAAGTGCCAATAGTTAAATTATCAGTGGAGTTAACTGTTATTTCCAAAAACCAAAGCCTGAGAAAAAGCAGGGAAACAATGAACCAACTTTATAGCTGGAGTGACTAAAATCAGAGAAGCCAGTGATTGGTCCCTAGATGACCCAACTTGTCTGGCGTTCTGAAAACGTTGAACTGCTTTGAGCATCCTGTCTTCCCACAGTCAGGGGGAAAAAAAGAAGACTCAGAGTAATAATTCCCCTTCACAGCGAAAGTTGAGGTCAGAGAAGCGCAGTGGTTTTCCCCACTGAACAGGTCTGAGATTCCAGGACTCAGGAGCCCTTGCTCAGCCACCCTCTCTGGCCTAGGACACTGCTCACGCACCTTGTCGATGAAGGAGGCAAACTTGTTGTTCAGAGTCTTGATTTGCTCACGCTCCTCAGTCCGGATTTTCTGGATCTCAGGGTCAATCACCACTTGGAGGGGTGTCAGCAAGCTCTGGTTGATGCTGACTTCCTGGATCCCCCCAGCGGGGCAGACTGGGAAACCAGGACCACCCCGGCCATTGAAGGAGCCTCCAAATCCACCACCAAGGCTTCCAGCACCAAAACCAAAGCTCCCAGCACCAAAGCCTCCAGCAACCCCAAAGCCAGCACCTTGGCGGGACCCAGCCACGCTGCAGGAGATGCTCCTGTTCCCTCCAAGGTTGTAGAGGCTCCTACTGCCAAAGCCCCCAGAGGAGAAGCGCCCCGCACCCCCAGACATGGAGGCTGAGCTGAAGGCAACCCTCTTGCTCCCACCAACGATGGCTGAGCCACAGCTGAAGCCCCGGGGCCCACTCCGGACACTCTGCTGTCTGGCAATCATGACTGAAGGAGGAGGTGAGCTCAGAGCTGTAGGACAGAGGCGAAAGGGGCCAGGCCAGTGAATGCTGGAGCCCTCAGCCTGGGTCTCTTATATGGGCTGGAACGGCAGAGCTTAGTAACAGGGGCATAAAGGGAAAAATCCGAAACATCCCTGGGCTTGGCCTTTGGCACAGGCCCATCCTTCTCACACCTGCTGAGTATGTCACTAACACACCTGCAGAAGTCACTGGGAGGGCACAGGTTGCTGGATCCCATCCCTTCCCCTCCAGGAGAACCAGAGCCAGCACCCAGGGCCTTCTTCATCACAGGCCCCACCTGGGCCCAGCCCTGCAGCCCTCACTGCTCTCTCACCTCACCAGCCCCATGGTGGTTCCTGTTCTAGACAACAAAGTCCATCACCCTTCTTCTCACACCCCAGCCCATCACACCACAGAATCTGGGACCCAATAGCCTGGGTTAAAGGGCACGAGTTGCCCCCTACAGTCTGCATACCTTGAGCAAGTCACCCTCTGAGCTCGTCACTTCACCCAGAGATTGGAAATTTATACAAATATTTACCTTCACTGTTTTTCAAAACTGAGGTCATCATTCATAGAATGCTTTGTAAACTGTCAGAAGCTGTATGTACACTTTGTATTATTGTCATTCTTATCCCTCGGTGTGTACTTGGCCCTATGTACACATGCAGAAGAGGTCATCTGCTATATTCCCCTCCCGTAGCCTCCCAAATCTAAACCCAGACTCCCTCCAATTTGACCCACAGTTGTGGGGTACCCACCTGGCATGAGCCAGGCAATGAGTAGAGAGGGATGTGAGGGGTCCACATGTCCCCTTAAGAGACCTTCACTCTCTGCCTCAGCCCCAGGACTTCCACTGCTCCTTCAGTCTCCATGGGTCTGCACCTGCTCACTGCTGGAGGGAGGACCCTGCTCCAGGCTGGCCTTAAAGGCAGGAACCCCGGGACCCCCCTGCTGCTATGGGGTTTGCTTTGCTCCCCTAGATCAGAACACATTCTCTTTCTCCTAAATGGCCCCAGCATTCAGGGCAGGAGTTCCAAACTTTTTTTGGTGCTGGGGACCTTCTTGGCAGAATGATGAAACTGAAGGGACCTTCTCAGAGCCATGATTTTAAACACTAATTTAAGAGCAACTAATATGGGTCCAAACTCCACCTGTTGCCAGTAGGTAGCTGTGTATCCTCGGGCAGATCATCTAACCTCTCTGAGCCTATCCAACCCATCTTCTCATCTATAAAATGAGACATCTGTGTCACAGGTAATGAGACAAGGTACCTATAGTGCCAAGCACATAGGAGGTCAGTAGCATTCATTCTTTCCTGTCCAAGCTATGCCATTACCACTTTCAAGGGCATTTTGGATAAATCTATGTCCCCCTCCTCTCTGCAGTCCATCATAGAGGAAATGACCCCAGATCTGAGAAAGAGCAGTGACCAGAGCCTGGATAATCCTGCAAGCCAGAGCTGGCCCAGCAGTAATGAATGGGTTCCCTCCATACACAGAGGGAGAGCAGGGACATAGGTGGAGATTAGAGTGGTCAGGGGTCCAGGCCCCCAGGACAGGGATGCAAAGAAGGCCAAACCAGCCAGGAGCTCCACCAGCTCCTTCTCCTCCCAGCTCTACCCTCGCCCTCTCCCCTCAACCTGCCTCAACCCTGTTGACTTCTCCCTGCCACTGCCCAGGTGGTCTCCAGTAAATGGATGGGGTGCAGCACTGTGGCTGGGAGGGATGGGGTACCAGGCCCATCACACACCCACAAAAGAAGGCTCAAGCAGTAGTCAGCCCAAGCAGGCAAACTGCAGAGCCAGTTTCTCCCAGTGTTTACTGAGTGCTGGCTTGGTGTCACACTCTTTTCTGAACAACTTACTTATATGCACTGGGTCAGCAAGTCAGCTAACAACTCAATGCAGTTGGTATCATTAGCTCTGCTTATGAATGAAGACATGAACACTCAGAGAAGTAAAGTTGCTCCCAGCATTTATTAGAGCCCGAGCTTCAACCCACATCAGCCTGGTCCCAAAGGCCTCTCACCTGGGCAAAGTCAATATAGCTACCGTGGATACTGGCCAGGCCAGAATCGGGCACCAAACACACTTGACAGAACTGCTGCTTAAGATGAAGGGACAATGGGGCACTGGCATCCCAGTCTAAGTCCATCCCAGGCACATGAAGAAGGAAGCTACTCCAGAGCTAGGGGACTATAGGGGAGAGGATATCTGAGAGCCACCCCCCTCTGCCACCTCGATCTCACACCTCTCACCCACCACTCCTTCCTCTGCTGACCCTGAGGCTTTGAGCAGACTTTCTGGGCTTGATGGAGGGTTGGCATGGACAGATGTAAAGCCTAAAGCCTCAAGGTGGCTCATGACATGTCCTTGGGTTACATATCTGCAGCCATAGCACTCCAATCCTCAAAGAAAATGACACAGATACACTGTGCCTAGATTTGGGCCCAGTGATGAAATAAAATTCAAGCCAGAAACCAGATGGATGTTCAGGGAATAATACAGGATATATAATTATCAGTCTTGTTTTGTGCCAGTGGGGCACCCAAACCAGAGAGCCCTGATGGGGGACTTCTCTGAAGCATATGCCATCTCCAAAATGAAAAGTAAGCTGAGGGAAACACCAGTGTTTTCTAGGTAGAAGGGACTCCCACATGGAACTCTTGTTATGTGAACACTCAGTGCTTTTCTTACAAGTTTCGTTCCTCACAACAACCCTGCAAAGGAGGTGTTGCTATGCCCACTTCAGAGCTGTCACCATTGAGGCTCACAGAGGTTATGTAACTTACCTGAAATCCCACAGCAAGGAAGGAATGAAGATGGGAAGCCAGTCCTGTCTGGCTTCAAAGCTTGTGACCTTGCCCTGAGGACAAACCTGCCCCACACAGAATCTTCAGCAGCCCATAGCCCACCAGAACAGCAGTATAGTCTTGGCAACAAGCTGCATGCTCTGCAGACCTGACTCATCGCCTTTCTGTCCCTCCTCTGTCACATCATTGGTGCCTTAATATGTGTGGCTTTGTCCTCTATAAGGTAGGACATGGTCTTGGGTCAACACTGTGTCCTCTAGTTAACTTAATCCAAATTAATTTAATCACAAATCCCATGATGAACCCAAATGAAATAGGAAGAAAGTTCTGGTCTAGAACCACACCCTGTGTCCTTATTATCAAATCAGAATTGCCAGAAGTTCACAGAATCTTCAACCTGCAGCTCAAAAACTAAAGATAGATATAAAAGGCTGGCAGAGTGGCTCAAGTAGTCCAGCACCTGCCTAGCAAGCATGAGGCCCTAAGTTCAAATCCCTCTACTGCAAAAAAAAAAAGACAGATACAAGGAAGAATTTCCCAAGCAAGAGAGCTTTACACCCCATGGTGGAAAGACAGAGAGAAGAGCTTTTTGTGGGAAAGATGTCTGTTTTCCTATGTGGGCCAAAGGCAGGTGACTGAGCAAGGTTCTACCTGGCCATGACAGCTGACAGCTGGTCCCCCCTCACAGCCAGCGCCACACACACAGCTTTGGCCATTTCCCCCATAAGCCTGCTTCCTTTGGCAGCCATCCCAATCTTGACATGAACGATGAGCAGCTGCCGGGTGTGGAGCTGGGATGGGAGGGTGTGTTTGCCCAGGGCAAAGCTCTCACATTCAGCCTGGGATTACAGATCCCTAGGCCTTTGTCACTCCCAGCAGCAAACCCGGTGCATGTTGTGGGAAAGTGCCCTGCCCTCCTGGCCGGGTCAGTGCCTTTGCTCCACTAGGTCACCCAAGCTCAACTGCTGCGAGGGGAAGAGGGGTCGTCTGAGTCACTCTTAGGGAGCCAGAGTCAACAAGGGGATCAGAGACTGTAGGTCAGAACTGTCAGCACTTTCAAAGTGGCTATGACAGACTCCTCAGAGCCAGGGTGGGGCCTGCGCCCTGGGGGTCCTTTCTCTGGGGCCACAGGGCAGCCCCTCTTGGTCTCCCATCCTGGCATATGCCATCTGGGGCTGTCCAATCATCCTGCAACAAAATTACTCTTGCAACAAACTCAAATGCACAACCCCAGGGAAGCCAGGAGAAAGGAGAGAGGCTATGACTGGCACAGAGGAGGGATCATGGGCTTTCTGGCCTGCTGGCCTCCCCCAGGCCTCCTGAAGCAGTCCTTGGGGTCCTCAGGCTCCAGGAACTCCATGTGGGACCCCTCAGCAAGGATTTCTGAATTGCATGTCGTTAGCAGGAGGATTTCCCAGAAAATGCTGTAATCGATGAGTTTTATTACATGATAATTCAAGCTATCTCTATTATTCAGTTTGTAACCCTTAAACTTCATTTCAATAATGCCATGGTGTTTTTATTCTGATATTGGTTTATTGGGGCTTTTAGACAAGTTCTTCCCCTCTTAGTCCATTTTGTCTCCTACAAAATGCCAAATTTGGACTAGATTTGCATTCAGTACCCCCTCTAGCACCAGCACCCCCTACTCCTCTATTCCTTCAATGTGAGTAGCATAACCTAGGTGAGGAGCATGGGGTTTTGTAGCAGGCCCTTGGATTCCACACCCAGCTCTGCTAGTTATTAGCTGTGTGACCCCAGATAAGTTATTTATTTTTTTCCTCGTCTGCCAAATAGGAGTGATAATAGTGCTTATACCACAAGCTGTTGGGGAGATTGAGTCAGCAAAGAGAAGGCACTCAGAAAGCTTTCGCTATTATCCCTAGAAGTACATGCATTGGGAGTGGTCTAGTCCTCAAGCGGTGCTCTGCAAGTATGCCTGACTCCCACGTGGGGAGGAGCTGTTTTGACAAGTGCTAGGCCTTGTGTTCCTGAGCTGTGCTATAGGATTTGGCTCAAAAATCCCTCTGCTGCCAGCCCCAGCCCTGGCCACAGCTTGCCTGGCTTCTTGGGATTCAAGGAGGATGAGTGAACAGGCTGAAAGAGCAAAGGCTCTACCAGGAGTGGCCAGGAGCATTCAGGGGCCAGTGGGAGGTTCTGGGGAGAGACAGAACTAGTGCCAGACTGGGGACAGGAGGCCTGGCTGAGCGGTCAGCCAGATGGAATCATTTGGTGTAGGTTGAGGAGTGGGGTGCAGGCTCAGGGTAGAGAGCTATAGGGCTGAGGAGGAAAGGAGGCAATTCTAAGAAACACAATAGAAGGAGGGTTCTAGGATTCAGTGAGGGCCAGAAGTGGGTCCAAGGGAGCTTCAGTGGAGAAAGGAGAGAGGGTATGAAATCACAGCCCCTAATCAGCCAGGCCAGCATTGACTTCTGAAACCTTCAATTGCCTCCCCTGTAAGATGGGGTAGCATATAGCCCCTGCTGAACGCTGCAGCAAATTAACATACTTGTAAAGCACAACAGCCAATTAAAAGTGGGTTTATATTGATGATTGGGTGTCGAGCTGAGAGAGATCACCTTCCTCCAAGAGGGTGCACTGGGGACCCAGAAGCCAGGTAAAAAGGAAGCAAGGGACACCTACTTTTGTGAGAGCCCCTAAGCCAGATGCTGTATACATGTTGTCCTCACAACCCGGGTTTTAAAAAGAAGGAAACTGGATTTAGAGAGGTTAAATAACTTGCTCAAAGTCACACAACTACTAAGTGGCCGAACTGGGATTTAAACCTGAGCCTGTCTAGATCTGAGGCCAGGATCTCTGCACTGAACAAATCATACTGGCTATCCTTCAGAACAGTGAAGGGCAGAACAGACTCCATGGGACTAGCGAGTGACAGGCAAGCCCCCAGCAGCTGGAAAGGCCTCCCTTTAGCAACTTGACCCTCCCTCTGAGCCTCAGGCTCCTGTGCACTAGGCACCAGCCCAGGAAGCAGTGGTACTGAGCCAAGCACCTAAGCCAGCTTGGACAGGGACTCAGTGAGCATGGGGCACTTGCTGCCTCTACTCTCAGGGCGTTAATCAATTGACACATTTCAGCTCCCCAGGCAGAAGAGTCCTCAGCGAACTTGATGTAATTGCTGTTTATTGAGGCACATCATAGGCACAGACCAGAGACAGGGATGTGGATTGATACAGGAAGGGATGGGTCTGGTGGGAGACTGGAGAAGTTGGAGGATCTTTGGGGACCACTCGCGACTCCCGCCTCGTCCTCCCCAGCCTGCCCTGAACTCACAGCAGGCAGACAGAGCAGGTGAGGGAAACCAAGATGACCAAGATATCAGTCCCATTTCCATGGTCAGAATTCATGACTCCAGCTCCTCTCCTCCCCTCCCATCACACAACCAAGCAGAAAAGCTGGGTAGATTTGAGCCCTTCCCCAAATGCAAATCTTACGCAAATAGTGCTATGACTACTTTAGCTCTGTGGTCCCCTGGGCTGTTCCTGCTTCTGAGCTGCAGGCCCCAGCTTGAAGGCTCAGCAGCTAGTACCTCTGGCTGGACGTCTTGACTGTGGTGGTCTTCCGAAGGATGGAGGTGCCCCCAGAGACTGGCCCACCCTTGGCAGTGCTGTAGCCCACGTTTGTGCTGAATCCTCCCTTGTAGGCCCCCCCACTCCCACCGAGGGAGATGCCACCTCCAAAGCCAGCGGCACTGCCTCCGCACACAGTGGTAGAGTTGCCGGTCATCGCTGCAAGGCAAAGGCTCTGGGTTAGGCAGGGCAGCCCAGAAGTCAGACAGAAATTGGAACAAAATCAAGTAGCAGAGCCACAGGAAATGGGCAGAGAAACAGGAAGCTCATTCTACAGGGACTGCTGAGCCTGTCCCTAAGGGTTCCAGTGGACGGGAACGAATGCACTTCAGGGCAAAGATGGTTAAATGAACAGGAAGGGTTCTGGGGCGGGGCAGAGAGTAAGCAGCAAATACTCACAGATGCTGACTGCACTGGGGCACTCTCCAGACATCCTAGGGAAACAAAGGCCGGGAGTGGGTCAGCAGTCCCTGAGCCCATGTGAAAACCCTCTCCCTCTTTCTACCTTCTCATTGGTCAGCCTGGGTGCCAAAGTCCAATTATACCACCATGAGTGTGCATGTGGCCATGACAGGACTTGGGGCCTCCCACCAGTATGGTGGAGGGCACAGGACTGCCAGAAGGCACATGGTCCTCCTGCCCCCTCACCCTTATGAAGCCCATAGATAGCATCCATGCCTCCACCAGCTTCCTCTCTGCCTTGCTTTCTCCAAGGACAAAGACATAGACTTTGTTTTCGTAGCTTGCAATGGTGGTGGAACCTGCTGGGCTACCAGAACCCCAAGGACTAAGGATGGTTGTGCCATCCAGGAGTTGAACAGCACAGACAGCGAGCATGGGAGAGAGACTCTCCCCAGATGAGTTAGGGGCCTGGCTCCCTAATGCACTCCCCTCTTCCTCACCAGCACAGAATACAAGGGCTCTCCCTAGTACAGAGGGGCAAAGAGTCAGCCACCTGCTCTCCTCGCTCTCCAGCAGCTTGCGGTAGGTGGCAATCTCCACATCCAGGGCCAGCTTGACATTCATAAGGGCCTGATAGTCACGCAGCAGCCGGGCCAGGTCCTCCTTGGCCTGATGCAGGGCCGTATCCAGATCCCCAAGTTTCTTCTTAGCATCTTTGAATGCCAGTTCTCCACGGTGTTCTGCTTCTTCTATGGCCCCCTGCAGCTGCTGACACTGCCCAGGGGATGACAGGTGTTGGGAGCACCTACCAGGGTCATCCCACTCATCTCTCCATCTCCCCTCCCAATCACATGGGGAAAAACCAAAAGGAGAACTATACATCGCAGAGAGGAGATGCTATTAGACAGCAGGATCATGTAGCAGCATTGAGGAAGCCCTTACTGAGGTCTAGCCTGAATCCCTCCTGCTGCAGCTCTGCCCAGTATTTCAGAAGAGATAAATGATACAACTTCACTATTAGACAAATGTGTTATTCTGATCTGGAGAAGAATTCATACATTTTAGCCATCCCTTAAATGGAGTCAGCATCTGTGCCTGGAAGCCTGAACCCTTAGCCTCCTGCTCTCACTTCCTGAAGATGGGAATGCATCTGTTTCCTTGGAATAGATCGTCCCACCTGTTTTACCTTTTACATGCTTTGCAACCTTGGACAAGCCCCTTCCCTTCTCTGGGCCTCAGTTCCTTTCCCTGGAAGCTTCTTTCCAAAAGAAACATGTTGACCTTATGGGTCAGCATTTGAGTAGTCCCATCTCTCCAAAGAAGAACAGACCTGGCCTCTCCATATGACAATGAGAAGTCCCTCCAACCCTGCCAACACTCAAGCCTGACCACAAGTAGAGGCCCACCTGCTTCTTGGCTGCATCCACCTCCCCCTGCAGCCTCTGGATGGTGCGAGTGAGCTCCGCAATCTCATTCTTGGTGTCCCGCAGGTTTTCCCCATGCTTCCCAGCTGTCACCTGCAGCTCCTCATACTGAAAGCCAAAGAAGGGAGAGTAAGTGTCGGAAAGCCCAACCCCACTGAGTAACCATTGGCCCAGAGTCCACTGTCCTCCAGAGGCTCTTGTGGAGGCTAAGCACATCTGGTCCCCAGGGCTCTGAGGGCCCCAGTGACCCAGGCTTCTCTCCAGGGAGGAGATCTGTGTCCAATCCGAGCCCACACACCTGAGCCAGCCTTCTGCTCACCTTGGTCTGATACCAGGACTCAGCCTCAGCCCGGCTCCTCTGGGCAATCAGCTCATACTGGGCCCTGACCTCCGCAATGATGCTGTCCAGGTCCAGAGAGCGGTTGTTGTCCATAGAGAGGACCACATTGGTGTCAGACACATGGGTCTGCACCTGGCTCAGCTCCTGAGGAAACAAAAGCAGCTGCCACCAGCACCCCTGCCCCAGGCCCCAGACTGGCAGAATGGGATGGAAAGTGACATCAGAAGAGCTACCCTAGGTTTCCCTGAGCTGTACTTAAAGAAGAGGTTCCATCTCCCAACTATGAAATGGGCACCCATCTTTATAGATTTCACTTAACCCTGTGGGTCTGCAGACCTCTGAGGGACAGAAGGAGGACAGGGAGTGGGCCCTTCTGGCCCTGATGGCCATATTCTCCACTGTGCTAGCACACTTACTGGCCCTTTAATCCTCAGATCATCCAGGGAGGCAGGCAGCCCACAGCTGGCCTGCAGGACATTTTTGTGCAAACTGGGAGAGGGCACCTGCATGCAGAAGCAGTACATCCAGCTCCAGTCAGTTAGCTACCATTCGCAATAGCCCTAACCATAGGTAAGTGAGGAGAGAGGCTTGAAGAGATAGACACATCCCAGAGTACCAGGTACAAGGTTGGGGGAGAAGGGGGGGGAGACTGGAACCAGCCAGTAGAGTGACAAGGCCCAAGTGATTTTCTGTGATCACTATAAACTGTGTGATATTCTCAGACCTACTTGTGTTTCCAGGACCATCAGCTTTTAAATGTATGCAAGTGTTTGAAGATGCTGTGATTGTCAGGGAAGGTGGCAAGAGTTGAGGGTCTGTGTTCTGGTCATTGGGTCATAACATTGGCTCCCAGTGGGCTCTCCTTCTGTCTTCCTGTGGTCCCCCTGGGCTGATACTCTAATCCTGGCAAATCACCGATCTCCTCAGTCCTCCTTGGACTCAATGGGCAGAGAATCTTCCTTCTAAAAGTTAACTGCTAAGGCTAGCCTCATGGTACCTTGTTTTTCCCTTGTATAAAATGGCCCAGAGACCACTTTCTCCAAAGGGTTGTTGTGAGGATAAAGATCATAGATTGTCCAAGCTGGGGACTCAATGACAAGCACTTATTTGCCCAGACTTTTCTGAAGGTCAATAAAGGACCCACGGGCCTCTTTGTTACAGGTGACATCACTTCTCCCAACCCTATGTGCCTCCTGTCCTCCTAGACAAATGACCAGCATCTTCTCAAAGCATCCACCTTCCCTTTCACCAGCTTAGTCTCTCTTCAGAGCATGGACCTAAGGAAAATCAACCTGGGATTTTTAAGATGCTGGCTACTGGACAACACTGACAGCGGGTGAGGTGGTGTCTTGCTAGAAGAAGGGAGAGAAAGGTCAGGATTCCCATGGAACAGAACTAGTAAAGGGAACAGGAAGACCCTATAAAGTTAGGAGGGCTTATGTCTCCTTAGACACCAGGGGTCCCAAGGAGGCAACCGTGGAATCATCCAGGTAAAAGAAGCCAGAGTCAAAAGTAGGGTCACTGGAGGGGAGGCTGGGTCCCAAATCTCCCCCCTTGCCAGAAGAAGGCTCTCCTTCCCCATGAGGCACCCAGCAAGGGATGGTTCACCCTTGGGATTTCCTTTAGATATGGCATGACCAAAACTAGACCACAAAATTGCTTCCTGAATGCCATGTTGTTCATGATAGCAGACAAAGCTCCTGAGGCAGCAAAAGAACCACTACTCTGTCCTTCCCTTGCTCCTTAAGGAGATGAGGCACTTTGGTAGGAAATACCCCAGCTTAGTTCGTAGTTTGCCTTCCATTTCCACGTCTTCACCTAATTGTCCCCACCTACATTATACCCAGCCTACCAAGCACTGCTAGTCCCCAGAGACTGTGTTCCTGATGCATGTGGCCTTGCCCAGCCAGGTGTCCCTGAAGGTAGCCCTTCCTGTTCCTGCCTCAGAAGCCAGCCTTTCCTTACAATCCAATGCAGATGTTTTCTCCTCCAAGAGGTCCTCCAGCCTTCCCAGGAAAGGCCAGCCACAGCTTCCCTTGTGTGCCTCAGCATCTTTAGAGCTTGTCCCCAACATGGCTCCCCTCATCTAATAACTGGGCCCCAAGAGCAGGAACTTTGTCTTTGTTGTCATGTGGAAGGAACTCTAAATACTTGTTCAATGAACAAGGCATGACAAATGAAAGGGATGCTGGGTAAGCCAGCCATGTGCTTTGGATAGTAGGAAAGCCAATCCCAAAACATTCAGAGAGGGAGAGCATAGAACTTAAGAAAGGACAGGAACTCATGAAGGGCCATCAGTGACCCCAGTGTCTTACTGAGAAAGTGCCTAAAACCTCAGTATGATGACCCAGAATCCTTCCCGGCAAGCTCCACCTCACAGACCCCATGAAGATGCTGCAGGAGATGGGAAGAGTCAGGGAAAGGCAAAGGCCAGTGAAGGGCTATGAAACAAGCTCTAGGCAAGAAGAACAAGGGAGATCCCACTGGAATAATTCCTGAGACCAAGGAAAAACCAGCAATCAACTGCTTGCTCACTTGCCTCACTTCTATTATGGTCATCAAACCAGAAAAGACAGAAAAAAAATGTTTCAGAGGACATAGAAACCCAAGACAGACACAAAGAATATGAGAGACCTTGGCCTAGTTGGAGACCTCAGGGGTCCAGCCCAAAGGAGCAAATCTTAGGAGACCATAGGAATAACCAAGGGGATGAACCTTCAGTGATCCCCAAGAAATAGGGAGCATGGGAAAGGTTCCAGTACCACAACACAGCAAATGTCCTGATTTTCAAAGGGAAAAGATTTAGGATTGTCCAAATTAAGCTGGTGTCAACCTCCTATGTACCTTTAGAAGAGATTAGAAAATGGCGGGGGGAAGGGTGGGGAAGGGAGGATACAAAGCCAATAAGAGCTCCCTAAGGAAAAGTCAAACCCAATGGCTTTTCTTTCTCTTGATTATATTACCGAAATGCTAAAGACTTGTCACAGACGTTGTTTGACCATGCCTTCCACCAAATTCTTGAAAATAAGACAGAAAAACATGGCCCAGACGATGGTATGCTTAAGTGGATTTTAAAGTATTCTTGATTAATGGAGTAGAAAGTTATCTATGAAGACTCTTAGTACTCTGTTCTTGGCCTTGACAGTCTTAACATATATATCAAGGATTTATACTGAAGTGTTAAAGAACTAAACAGAAAATCTACCAGGTCTGCAGGTAACCCAAAGCAGGGCATCACCAGCACATCAGATAGAGAATCGAGTTTCAAAGTACCACATGGCATTCAATGATGGGGTAAAACCACAATAACGTTTCACAGGAAAGAAAGAGAATGATTAACTCTTGCATTGTTTCAAAACTCAACTACAGCCAGGAGTGGTGGCCATGCCTGTAATCCCAGCACTCAGGAGGCAGAGGCAGGAGCTTTGAGAGTTCAAGGCCAGCCTGGGCTACATAGCAAGATCCTGTCTCAAAAAAACCAAGGCCTACTCAATGTAGAGAAACTAAAGCAGATACCTTGAAAGCAACTGAGGCCAATAGGAGAAGGGGACCAGGAACTAGAGAAAAGGTGAGATCAAAAAGAATTAACCTAGAAGGTAACACACACGCACAGGAAATCAATGTGAGTCAACTCCCTGCATAGCTATCCTTATCTCAACCAGCAAAAACCCTTGTTCCTTCCTATTATTGCTTATTCTCTCTCTTCATCAAAATTAGACATAAGGGCAAAATAGTTTCGGCTGGGTATTGAGGGGGTGAGGGGGAGAGGGAGGGGGCGGAGTGGGTGGTAAGGGAGGGGGTGGGGGCAGGGGAGAGAAATGACCCAAGCATTGTATGCACATATGAATAATAAAAAAATAAAAATTAAAAAAAAAATAAACCAAGGGCTAGAAAGAAACTCAGTGGTACAGCACTTGCCTAGCATGTACAAGGCCTTGGGTTTGATCTCCAGCACCACATACACAAAAAAACTCAACTACCGAAATGTAGGAAGTTGGAGGAAAGTGGATGCATGTCTCCCTTGAAAGCGTCATGTAAATAAATCCAGAGGTTGTCTAAGCAGCCACAGTGATGAGATGGCTTCTAAAAATAACCCACAAGCCAGGACAACATGAGGCTGCATGAGTAGACGTCTGTTCTCTCTCCTGGCCCCGCTATTTTCCAAATACTTCACTAAGAACACTGTTTTGTAATTTCCTCATATGTCCAGGATTCTGTTCCCTAACCAACCTGCCCTCTAAGGAGCTGTCATATGAAAGACATATGTCACATGGAAAACAACTGGATACACGCAGCCCATAGGGCAGAGCCAGGGCCCCCTAAGGGCAGAAATGGGAGTAAGAGTCAAGGAAGCTTTTAATGGAGGTGTTAACAACAGCAATGACTGCCCTCACAAAAAGCACTGAAGGACAGGCTTTCTGACCATCTGTCTGGGATATCACAGAAAGGATGTTTATACTGGATGGAAGGTTAGCTCTGAGATCCCTGATGATCCAAGGAGTCTCTGATTGTCTAGCAAATTCATGTTAAATTCAACCCTCTCTCCCCAAGCCCCCCCCCTCCATGTACTGGACCCCTCCTGGAATCTTTGGTCTATCCACTACTCTCCCACTCACCTCCTGCTCCATCCCTTGCTCCATTACAAACTCAAAGGAAAGGATAGTACAGTAAAGTGGCAAGAGTCTAATTCTAGAATCGAAGAATCAAGTTTGAATTCTGACAGTAGTCTGTGACCATGGGCAAGTTACTCTGAGCCTCAGTGCCCTTGACTATAAAACAAAGACAATGATTTTATAGTTGATGAGAGGATTATATAAGAAGCTTGGCCTGGAGTCTGGCTCATCAAATGTACTTAATACATGGGAGGCAGTATCAATTAAAGGGTCAAGGCCCCATCTTTTACCAATTAGGTTGCACTGGTGAATTCAGATCAGACCTCCATGGGGAATCCCCAGTGCTGCATGTAAATGAGTGCATAAGTATTCCTGTCCATTGGCCCCCTCACCATTTCATAGAGACTCCGCAGGAAGTCAGTCTCCTGGCTCAAGTGATCCACTTGGCCGTTCAAATTCATTCGATCCGAGTATGCAGCATCTACATCCTGGGCAAGGGAGAGAACAAGACAGAGGCTCAGCCTCCAAGAGTCTCACCTCCGCAGATCAGCCCAGCAGTCAGAGGACCTCCACCCCACTCCGGCCACCCACTCACCTTCTTGAGCATCACAAACTCATTCTCCTCAGCAGTGCGCCTGTTGATTTCCTCCTCATACCTGTTACAGAGGGAAGGCTCAGACTGCCTCAGCCCAGAGCTGCCTTTTAGGCATTGGACCTGCAGGAAGCCCTGATGGGTCCCCTCGTCCATTGCCCAAGAACACCTCTGAGGAGCAGTTTTTTAATGTAGCCAGGGAAGAAATTTAGGGTAATACCTTCACTTAAATATTCTCTCTCCTCACCTCCTTTCCTCTTATGAGATAAGGGGCACAGAATTTGTGCAATAATAATAGCAATCTAGAGCAGGCATCTTTTTGGATCACAGCCCTTAAGAGGCTCAACAGAAGCATGTGAAGGTGTGCCAAAAGTGTAACCTCTGCACTCACTTTCAACAACACGATGTTGTTTAAAACAACCAACTCCTCCCCATCCACTTCTGCTGACACTTTAAAGTTTAGCAATTGCCAGTGTCAAGTTATGGAAAAAGTTACTTTAAAAGCTGTGCTTTAAAGTTGTAAGTATACATATCCATCATTCACAATGTGGGTACCTTATTGGGAGCTTGATTCAAACGAACTATATTTTTTTTTAATTTATGACATTCGGAAATTCTAAACCAGATGGATATTTGATGATACTGAGGAATTACTGTTTTGAAAGTTTTAGGTAAGATTATAGCATTGTGCTTATATTTTAGTAAGTCAAGTCAGGCGATGAGAACTATATAAATTTACTCTATAAATAGCAAAATATTGGTGAATGACATGACATGGCATTTGCTTCAAGACGGTAAGGGAGGAGGGGAAGGGAGGTAGAGCAGGGATGAAATGAGACTGGCTGAGCCAATAATTATTGAAGTGGGTGATGAGAACAGAGGGTTTAGTATACTATTTTTCCTGCCTTATAAAAGAAAAGAAGAATTATTTCAAGTTACAAACAATACACAAACAAGTGCACCAATTCTCAAGGCTGTGGCAGGCCCTGTAGCTGAGCACCAGCGGGACCTTCTCTGATTATGCATCCCTCGGTAGGGACTCGGAACCCTGGGAATGGGCAGCTCTCCCTAGGGCACTTTCCCACTCTCCTCTTCTCCCCCCACAGCCAGCCTGTGCAGTCCCCTCACTTTTTCCTGGTTTCCTCAAGGACGTCTTGCACACTCCTTAGCTCCAAGTCCAGCCTCCCCCGCTCGCTCTGCATGTTGTCCAGCTGCCTCCTCAGATTGCTCAGGTACATCTCAAAGATGGGCTCCAGGTTGTTTCTGGTGGCCCCCACATTCTGGCCCTGCTCCTGCAGCAGTGCCCACTTGGTCTCCAGTACCTTGTTCTGCTGCTCCAGGAACCGTACCTGAGCCAGAAAAAGAATGAGTGAGTACATGTCATTCCTGGCACAGAGGGGCCAAGGCCAGGGGCTAGTGTCACCACACATCCCAGTTCAGCATCACAGGGGCAGTGCAGCAGTGCCTGTACCTCACTGGAGTTGGAGAGGGTCCCTGAGGGGAGCAACCTGTCAAATGATAGTCCACTCTGATAGAAGGACTCAAAAGATGTAATAAACACGAGAGCCCTAGCTCACACATCACCACTTCACTAGCTTGTGACCTGAGTCAAATCATTTTGCTCTGGATCTTGCATTACCATTTGTCTTGAGTAAACTGGACTAGGTCAATGCTTCTGAACCCTAGCTCTGCAGCAAAATCAATTGTTAAACATGTCAATGAGCCAGGCGCCAGTGCTCATGCTATAATCCTAGCCTCTTAAGAGGTTGAGAACAGGAGAGTCATGGTTCAAGGCCAGCCTGGGAAATATTTGATGAGACCCCATCTCCAAAATGACTGGAGCAAAATGAACTGAGGTGTGGCTCAAACACTAGAGCACCAGCTTTGCAGGTACAAAGCCCTGAGTTCAAACTCCAGTCCAGCAAAGAAAAAAAATAAATAAATCAATGATAGCTGGGAGTGGTGATACACATCTGCAATCCCAGTACTCAGGAAGCTGAGGCAAGAGGAACAAGGCTAGCCTGGGCTATAAAATGAGACCCTAACTCAAAAAAAAATTGATGATAGAGAGAGAGAAACAAATGTGACAAAATGTTTAAAATTACTGAATCTGAAAGAGTCTGTTGTACTATTCTTACAACTTTTCTGCAAAAAGAAAAAAAAAAGATTTTTGTTAAAACTGATGCCCAAGCCTCACCCCTATAGATTCAGAAGGAGGTGCACAGAGAGGGGTTGGCAAGCCCCAGGATTCTGAGACACCAATCTCACAGACCCCAGTTCCCAGGCTGTGATTCTCTGAGCCTAAGAAAAGTGTTTGTACATTCGACCTGTGGAACAGTCCCTCAAAAGAGCCAAGAGTCACTAGGGAAAAGGGTAGTAAGTGAGCAGGGAAGCTTGCTTCACCCTCTGCCATCCAGTCCCTCCAGGTCCCACCCCCACAGCACTCCAGCTCCACAGTGACCTGATAGAGGAGCTCCGTGCAGCAGGTGCACTCTCAGTGCCAAGGGTCATGGAGCCCAGGAACCTAGTTCCTAGATCCACCTCTACATTCAAGTACCTATGTGATCCTGGGCAAACAACAGGGGCTCTCTAGACCTCAGTTTTCTCATCTCAAAAGTGGGAATAATATCACCTACTCTGACTCCTCATGGAATCACTGTGGGTACCACATGAGAAAAGAGATGGGAATGTCTGTAAAAGTGCAAACCTCAGAACCAAGATACAGTTACAGTTGTCCACCAGATCTTCCCCATCATAACCCCAATCTTGCCTTGACCAAAGGCCAAGTTGACAATGCTAGCAGAATGAATCCAAAAAGATGCTAGAGAGCAGTATACAAGAGTCACCCTAGTCGCTCTGGAGGCAAAGGAAGAGTCCAAGACATTCTCAATCTCCAATAGCTCAAACTCTGTAATGACCTGGTGATCACCCTCCTCTGCCAGACTAAATTCTTGGCTTGAACAAAGCAGGGAGCAAGAAAAGAGAGGCCATGGGAGACTTCCCCCGGGCCCCTCCACTGTGTTCCAAAGTTCCAGTCACTTCTGCCCTTAGGACCCCTCCCAACCTGAAAGACCTGGCTTAAGGTATAGACAGGGTTCCAATACTTCAGCCTTGGACTTCTGAGCCATAGTTTCCTCAGCTACAAAATGTCAAAGGGAAGGAAGGGCCACCTCCCTAAGAAGAGCACCAAAAACAATCCAAGTTCTAAGTTGAGAAAAGGCTGCTGGGTAATCATAGGAATGACAGCCTAGGACAGGCTCCAACCCAAGGCAGAGTGGAGCCACCCAGACTCCTGAGTAGACCAGGGATTTATCACACACCCACGTGAAAGCCCAGAAACAGTCCCCAGCCATTGTTTCTCAGCCCTCCAGCTCAGGACAGCAGAAATCAAAGTCATTCCACCCAGCCTGCCCCAGGCCATGTGAGCTGGAAGAAGGTCTGCCCTGCCCACCCTCCCTTTGAGGCCCTGCTTCCACTCTAAGGCCCCACTTCTGCTCGGCCCACCTTGTCAATGAAGGAGGCGAACTTGTTGTTGAGAGTCTTGATCTGCTCGCGCTCCTGGGTGCGCACCCTCTGGATCTCCGGGTCTATCTCCACGTTGAGGGGAGTCAGCAGGCTCTGGTTGATGGTAACCTCCTGGATCCCACCAGGAGGACAGGCAGGCCCAAATGTCTGCCTGCCAGCCCCCAGACCCATGTAAGCCCCACTGCCAAGGCCAAAGCCCCCAAAAGCCCGGCCGGAGGAGGTGCCACGGGCCACACTGACCGAGGTATTCCTAGTGTCCCCCAAGTTATAGAGGCTCCGGCTGCCAAAGCCACCTGTTCTGGGGCCACAGCGGGCCCCACCACCACTGCCACCATTTCGGGACATTGTCACCGAGCTGAAGCTGGTGTGGGTCCGGTGACCACCTCCTCCACTGGCAGAGTTGGAGCTGAAGCCTCCTTTGGTAGAATAGGTCTGTCGAGACATAGAGGACCTCATGGCTGTCAGAGAAGCCACAAGCAGGCTGAGAGCTAGAGGGAACACAATGAGCTGCCAGGCCAGAGATGGCCTTTTTATCTTTTCCCAGCTGGGCTGGCCTCTGGGCTCCCCACACACCCCTGCCCCATCCCCCAGGAAGAGAGGGAGGGGCCCTGTGGGCCTGGAGGGAGCCCCCTCTCCCTCAGGAGGTGGGAGGGGCCCCTCCCAGCCATCACCTGTGCTCCAGAGATGGGGCTGAACTGAGACTGTTTGGGGTGGGAAAGCCACCTTCTCCCCGCTCAGTCTCTCCTCATTTGCAGGCTCCCACAACTGCCCCCACCACCCAGTGGCTGACTTGGTCTCCTCCCACCCAGCCCTGGTAGCTGCCGTCAATGGGGCTCTGTTCTGTGGGGTTTGTCCCAGGGCCCTGTGGTAAGCCAAGGCCTCAGGGCCTTAAGGCTGCGCAGGTGGCAAGGGAAGGCGCATTGGGCAATGGGCTGCTCCGGTGCCCAGGCCTGCTCCAGTTCCACCCTCCTGGCCCATGGCCTCCTTGTCTCTTGGCAGGTCCATGGTGGGGGGCACAGGTGACAGAGCAGGGGCAGAGCAGTCTATCCTTTCGTCATATACTGGCATATGTCTTCTGGGTGGAGACCCTGTGCAGGACAAAATGGATTCAAGAACAGAACCTCTACCCAGTTGTGGGCAGGTGATGAGGGGTAGAAAAGCTTGGACTCCTGAGGCAGAGAACTGTGTTTGGGTCACACCATTCTTCCTCTCCTGGGATAGAAGGGTAGCAGGGGGCTTCGACTACCACCTGAGACCCCTGACCTTCTTCCCTAGGGTGGAGCCTCCACCACCACCACAGAAGGAGCCAGCCAGTTTGGAGGGAGATCAGAGGTATGTAGAGGACCCCCCATCCTGGCTGGAGATATGGACAGGTCTCAGAAGTATGTGTTCAGTGAAAGCCCCAAAAGGCCCATGCTACAGCCCTGTCATTCCCCTCTTCTTCTGTCCACCAAGAACCCAAAAGTTTGATTTAGGAGGGGCCAGGGTACTCCTAAAGTCACTTCATATACTCCCCCACTCCCTACCCACCTCAGGCTGCTGGGACCAAACACAGCCCAAGCAAACACAGAGGGACTTCAAATGTAAGATCACGGGATGATTGTAGATTGACCTAGAGATGGGCCCTTCTCAACCCTTTCAGCTATCTGCAAGAAAAAGGCCCAGAAAGGACAAAGACTGGCAGAAGGAAGAAGCAGGTACATCACTTGCTCTCATCCCAATGGAAGCGCCCTCCATCAGCCCAGGGAGGACAGGTATTGAGGAGGCCACTCCAGGCCCCAAGGAGGCTGAAGGATCTTTTCCTAAAGCCACTGGGTGGCTTCGAGTGGCTCCCAATTCCTTGAAGTCATTAAACCTGACTCCCACGAGGGCTGGGGAGAGGAGCACTCCTAGAATTGGTCCCTTATGCCCAAGAGTCTGTCCTACCTACTTGGGGTTTAGATAACCCAGCATTTGGCAGAATCGGGCTGAGAGACAAATCCCTACCGAGCTGTGTATATTCTTGGGCTATTCTCAACCACTCTAAGCCTTGTCTCTTCTGCCTCTAACCACAGTCCTCCTTATAAGTCTTTGGAAAAATGATGCCCTAGATTGAGTTGTCATTTCCCTCCAACCTTTGTCTCCTTTCCCCAGGCTGCAATCACTTTCTCAGCCTCCCTTATCTCTCCCTGGGTGGTGGGAGGGGAGACGGTCTGGAGTGGGACCTAGTCTCCAGGATGCGGCTGTGGCCCCCAGGCAAGGGAGTGATGTCAGCCTTGTGATTCATGATGCCGTTGGGTGGTGGGAGTGGGAGACGGGCCATAAACATGAACATACCCCACCCTAGAGACTGGCACCCACTCACGCAACTCATTCACACATTCACCCAGCATGTACTGTCTGCCAGCTTCACACTGGGAGCTGGGACTGGTGCGCAGGTGGCCCAGACCCACTCTCTTGGAGCATGAAGTTGCTCTTGGAGACAGCCCCCCTCCCACCTGGCAAGCTACTCACCCATCCATTCCAGACAGGCCATGTGAGGTCTCTGCCTCCTTCAGCACCCTTCTTCCCCATCCTAATTCCAGACATCCAAACCCAGACTTCCTTTTGCAACCTCTTAGAAGGGAAAAACTCAAGACTTTTTTTTAATTTTATTTGAACAATTTTAAATGGAACAGAACAAAGGAAACGAAGGAAGGAAGGAAGGAAGATTCATGAGTTGGGCAACAGATTCAGAGGCCTCCAATCCATAACACGATCTGACAGCATCTATGGGAAACAGAAGTACAGTGTGGAGACAACTTAATTGATCAATTGGTTAGAGAATCTCCTGTAATAACTAGAGCTCAGTCACTGTAACTAACCCCATATTGGTTTGGTCCATTGATGCTAAGTGCACAAGTCTAGTTCCAATCAGTGGCCTCTCACAGACACTATGTGACAAGTCCAAGGAGGAGAGGCTTCCTCTCATTCTGTACCCCAGAGAGGAAGAGTTGTCACCTGCTGCTGCTGGTTACCATTGTTACTGAGGGGTCCAGCTCCAGAGACTTTCACCTGTCTACAGTCCCTCCCACCCACCAGTACATAAGAGCAGAAGGGATTGAACATTGCTGCTGTCACAGGAGGGATAAGGCAAAATGGCTGATAATGGGTGCTGAGCAACATGGAAGATATGAGGGTAATGAGCTCCCAAAGGGAAGCAGGACTTTCTAACCTAGTAATAATTCTTATTGCAGTCATCATTTATTGAGCACTTACTATATGACCCGGAGTGGCCCAAGCACTCTATGTTCAATGACATGGTTTTTGTTTTGTTTTGTTTTGTTTTTCTCCAAACTGGTTCTGCTCTGCTCACCTCCTTCCCACCACAAAGCTATTCTCCACCCGCCTGTCTCCCTGAGGGATGCTGCTTGGCTCTCTGCTTCCCATCGGGTTGACCAAAGCAGGAGATCAGTGGGGAGAGAGGTCCATGGTTCTTCCCAGCCCTCTCACCTCCAGGATTTCAGCTTCCTCCAGGGTTCCCTCCTCCACAGTTCCAGCATCTACTCTTCTCAGACCACTTCTCCTGTCTCCTCAGCTCCACGTAGAGTGGTCATCTAATCCTGGTTTTCCCAGGACTGTCCCAGATTTAACATTGAAATTCCCCTCAGTCCTGGACAAAAATGGAACAGTTGACCATCCTAGCCCTAGGGGTGGTGGCTGATTCCCAGCTTCCCGCTGTGGCTAGTTTGTGGTCTCTTTGTCCTTTGTGACTTACACCTCTGTAAGTAATTCTTTCATAAAAATTAATTCAGCTCAGATCCTCACTTCCAGGATGACAAAGCCATTAAGGAGTCCATCATTTGAAACATAGTAGGGGCCACAGCCATCAGGGACATTTCCCACTGAAGGATAGGTGTTTCCAGAGCTGTGTGCAAAATCGCATTGCTGCCTGAGTTGTTCTGTCCACAGCAGGGAGCTCAGGACTCCATATCTCAGAAGGACCAAACACCCCCAGTGAATTTAGACCTATAGGAGTCTCCCCCCACCAAACCACATGTAAGAAGTTGTGTCCTTAATCACTGAAGAAAGATTGTTCTCTAGGGGAGAAATGGAAAGAATCCTTTTTTTAGAACAAAATTGAATAGCGTTATGTTGGATGAATTTCCCTGTGGGATACTGGGTGGCACAATTTCCTCCCAACCCGGTGAGACAGGTGCTGTTGTCCATCTCTTCTTACAGATTAAAAAATTGGCCCGTGGGGAGGCTAAGTCACCTGGTCAAAACCATTAGAATATGGCAGCACTGGTTCAAGTCCAAGAGTGCCAGCTACAGGGTCAGATTCTCACCCATTCGTGTCTCCTTTGCACAAGATTGAAAAGCCTTCTGCTTGCGTAAGTTGATCTGAGAAAAGGCTGCCTTTCCCGTAATGGAGCAGAAGAATGGTGTGACCTCCTTCAGTCCAGATGATGGAGCTGGGAGTGGAGCCCGGCCCCCATCTGCATCCAGAAAAGGAGAAGGGGAAGGAGCAATGGCAGAAACCCTTTGGTACACAAAGTGGGTGGAAAAGGCAATCCTCCCAGCCCCTCCTAGCCCCAGTCCTGACTCTCACATTCCTGGCTTCCAGCAGTGCTTCCTGCAAAAGAGGTAAGGAAACATTTCCAGCCTTGTGTTCAGACAGGCCCAGCGATAGGATGGGAGCCAAGAGAGAAGGTAGGGTCACAGTTTCAGTCCCAAGCCCCCATGAAGGCCCCCAGGCATAAGCTGAGCAGGGATCTTCTTCCTGGGTGCAGGAGAAACACCCACCTATAGGTCCCAGGGTAACAAGGAAGCTGAGTTCTGACCAGAACTAGACAGGCACAGAGTCTAGGCAGGCACCCTACCACTTGAGCCACTCCACCAGCCCAAGGCACAGAGCCTAGGATAGCAACAGGAATAGCCACAATGTGTGGGGGACAGGAAGGGTCCAGCAGGTTCAAACATTGAAATTAGGGAAGGTTTCCAGGATGAGAAATTTTTGGTGCAGACTTGGGAGGGAGGAGGAGCAAGGATGAAGGGGGCCATCCCCAGTCATGGGTAAAAATTGTCATAGCAGGCAGGCAATGAGGGAACAATCTAAGAGAGCTGATAAAAAGATGAGTGAAGATATAAAATATGCAGCACATTCAAGGGGCACACCAGAGGGCCTGAAAGACCACAGGACACACTTAGACACCATAGCCATCCCCAAATTGCCTTCCCAGGGGAACAGACCAGAATGCTCACAGCTTTTGTTTTTCTGGGTGAGGTGTGCAAGCTGGGGCAGAGCTGAACAGCTGGAAAGAGCTGCAGAAAAGCTGCAACTTACCACAGGGAACCTTCATGGCTGCCCTTTGATCTCTCCTGTAAATGTCCTTTAAGCCCATATCCAAGGCTATTGTTTAGTATCTGTGATAAATTGTGAACCTACTGTGGCATTCCTGTCCAGAAGTGCAAGGGTCAAGGCTCAGAGATGGGAGTTGAGGGGAGGTGACAAGAACCGGGCTTACCAGCCTAGATAAAACTGAGCCAGTGCACCACTGGAAGGGGACTGGAAGAAGGGACAGGTCACAAAGGAGCCTTCTACAAATTGCCATTTCCAGCACAGAGGCTCTGAACTAGCCACAGGAGGCCAGGCTCTGGTCCTGGAGGTCAAGGCCTCTGCAAAGATGCTCTGTTTCTTATAGGTGGAAGGTATTTGCTGGAGACAACAGAAAGGGACAGGTAGGGAGAGAAGTGGTACCCATCTCTTGTGAGAATAACCCTAAAGCTAGCACAGCACCTCAAGTATGGTTTGCCTTGAATACAATTTGCAGGAGGGAAGAGGAGAGGAGGTAGGAGATGAAGAGGGCTCTGAGTGCTATGTCACTTCACAGGCGAGCTGGAGAAACAGAGGTCCAGAGAAGGAAGAGAAGAGGACAAGAGTGGGCCCCTTGGTTCCAACCTCCAGCCTCTGGTCATTGGGCCTCAGGCCTCTCCCCTCCCACTAAAGAATACTTTTTCCTCTAGGGATATAGCCTGGCCTAACCCAGCCAGGAAGACAAGCCCTGTGCACCTTGACTGGGAGTGAATAGCACACAAGTGAGATGCAAGTCAGTATGCAGAGCAAGAGTGAGACTTTATTGACATCCCCATTGGAATCCCCCGTGAGCTTGCTTTGGCTTTGGGCAGTAGACATAAGGGATGGGGTAGAAGCAGGGCTGATGGATTCAGGAAGGAAATGGCCACCAGGTCACTCAGTATGTGATAGAAGTCTTCAGACTCGACTCCACTGTCTTCTTTACAATGGTGTGACAGCCAGAGCCAGAGCCAGAGCCAGAGCCAAAGCCAGAGCCAGACACAGAACAGAAGCCCAAAACAGGGCCATGCCCAGAGCCCAGGGTGGTGTTAAAGCCTCCAGTCACGATGCTGGAGCAGCCAGATCCGAAGTTGCCTTTCCTGCCTCTGAGTCCACAAGTACCCACTCGGCCGCCACCAGTTCCTCCAGATGAAAAGACATTGCCTCCCACTGTGGCTGTCAAGAAATGCAGCAGGGTCACAGCAGGGTCCTCAGTACCCCCATGGGAATCCCACCCTCAAAGTCCCCTCATACTCACAAATAGTGACCTGGCTGGGGCACTCCCCAGTTACCCTGGAAGAGAAAAGACAGGGGAGAAATGTCAACAACGGCTGCAAAGAATGCATCCTCAGGTGCTTTGAAGCCTCTAGGAGTAGCTCACCTACCCTGTCAGCACATAAAATCCAGTACCCAATTTTAAATCCCTCCCAGCAGAGTTGGTTGCCTTTAGTGACTCACAGTATCAGGAAATCTCTCAGAATCCCCGTTAGCAAGGAGAGCCCTGTGTGGGTATTCTATCCTCCTCCTCCACCCAGTCATATATTCCCAAGTCCCTCCATCCTGCCCCACCTGCACTCCTCGCCCTCTAGCAGCCTGCGGTAGGTGGCAATCTCCACGTCCAGGGACAGCTTTGTGCTCATTAGTTCCTGGTAGTCGCGCAACAGTCTGGCCATGTCCTGCCTGGTTGTTCTCAGAGCACCCTCCAGCTCATCCAGCTTGGCCTGAGCATCCTTCAGAGCCCTCTCCCCACGTTGCTCGGCACCAGCAATGGCTGACTGCAGGTTGGCATTCTGGAAGTAGACAGAAATGAGGGAGAATGTGCCTGTCAGCCTGACACAGCCTCCCAAAGCACTCACTGTGGACAAAATGTGAACGCTGGGGTGGACCATGAACTCAAAATTACCCTGGCCACCCCATCTCCCAGCTTCTCTTGGTCTAAGGTAAAGCATGGCCTCCACAGCTTCCCGGCTGCCTGTAGAGGGTTGAATAGGGTTCACCCAAAGTTTCTGTGTTGGCCCTGAAGCTCAGAGGGTGACCTTATTTGGAAGTAGGCCCTTTATTGACATACTTAGTTATGGCTCTCATGGTGACGTTATACTGTACTTAGGGTGAGCCCTAAATTCAATGCCTGGTGTCCTCATAAGAAGAGAGGTCACAGAGACAGACACAGAGAAGATGGAAGCAGAGGTTGAAGTAATTTGTATGACAGCCCGGGAAACTAATGTACCTCCCTTGACACCTCCTCAAGAGATCGTCCCCTATTTCTTCCCCTCTCCAGTCCCCCTCCACACACACACACACACACACACACACACACACACACACACACACTTGAGAATCTCTCTCAAGGCATTTGGAGCACTTCCTGCACTGGGTGGGTTCTTCTCCACAAGTCTCATTCTGAGGGCCACCCTCTGAGGGTCCTTGAGGTTTTAGGAGATTCCTGTTTCAAACACTGTCCTGTTGTCAGATTATATCAAATCCTCTGACTGTTTTTGACTTGAGAAATGTTTGATCACAATAACTGCTCTCCAACCCAGAAAGCTAGAGCAAGGATGGGCTCTCTGCCTGACCAGCCTCACAGATGATTCACCCTCACCTCAGATTCAGGAGAGAAGGGATTTCCCAAAGGCTCTCACTATTTGTTCCCACACAGGCATTCTATAGGTGGGAGCACCATCTCCACTCTGTATGTGAAGAAGCTGAGCCTCAGAAAGGTGATGGGTGAAAGAACAAGGACCTGAGCCCCCAACTGAGGCCACTGCTATCCAGCACACTGGGGCCAGTGCAGGGAGCCTTGTCCATATAGGCTTGCGCAGGAAAAAGGGAGGGGACACTTGATCCCCAACAGGAATTCTCATGGTAAAGGTGTACAACTTATGTGATCCCCAGGGCTGGGCACCCTGTAGACATTCCTTTGGGCTGGCCCTGGGCTCTGAAAATCATGTGCTTCAGCACCAACTGGTGAATTTATTTAAAAAGCAAGTTTCTGAGCCCCACACTTAAAGATTCTGGTTCCCCAGGTCTGGCAGGAGGCTCAGGAATCAACACTTGGGAGTCTGAAATTGGGAGATCACCATTCGAGGATAGCCCAGGCAAATAGTTTACAAGATTCCCATCTCCAAAATAACCAGAGCAAAATGGACTGGAGGTGTGGTTCAAATAGTAGAGTACCTGCTCTGCAAGCATGAAGCCCTGAGTTCAAACTTCATCTCTACAATAAATACATAGATACATAGATACATAGAATAGAGACACCCCAAGGGATTCCAGAACTAGGGTCCAAATCCGTTGGGGAAACATTAAGCAGCAAACTGAATTCTAGGACCAGGTCCCATTCATCTCAGACCCTGTACAAAGAAGAGCTGGTAATGATAGTTTGGGAGAAGTGATAACCTATGTATGCTTCCAGAACTTTCCCAGAGGGCCCTGCTTGGGAAGGGACTTGGGAGTCAGGCCTCAGTGCCTGGGCGATCCACGTGAGTCTGTGGTCTCTGCTCACTGCCTTCTGAGAATCTCCAAATTGATTTTGGAGAATGTGAGTGGAAAGACCATTCCCGTGGGAGGGCTCTCCAGTAGAATGAGCACCACCACCCTCCCCTAAGGGGTCTAGTTTCCCCCATCCCCCATCACCTTGCCTGCTCTCCTAGCTCTCACCTTTCCCAATAGGGGACCAGGAAATGCAGTATTTGGCCTTAAAGTCCCTGCTTGGTTTGAGGAATAAAAGTCAAAAGAAAAGATGAGCAAAGAGATAAATTAACCCTCTCCCCAACGAACCAAAAACAGGACATCCACCTGGATGTGGACTACAAGTGACAGTCTGAGGGGGTTGTGCAGTACAGTGGCTTTGTCCCAGAAAAGCTGGAATTCACAGAAGGCAGGTTGACTTCACCCCAGAGAGGGCTGGAAGCTCTCTCCACCCCAAATGATCCAGACCTCCAGCCAGTTGTCCTGGGCTTCCACACACACCCCTGGTGAGCCTAGCTGGCTAGAGGGAAACCCAGAGCTGGGGAGGGCTGAGGCACAAAGCCATTTGGAGACCTGGGAGTGAGGGGGGAGGGGCGGAGCCTCACCTGATCCTTGACACTTGCAATCTGACTCTGCAGCCTCTTCATGGTCTGCTGCAGCTGAGAAATCTGGACCCTGGTTTCCTTCATGCTGTCCCCATGAAGTTGGGCTGATGCCTGAAGCTTCTGGTACTATGGAGAGCAGAGGGACACCACTGGGTGAGAAGACAGCCACCTATGACCCCAATACCAGAGAACACCCACCTCCTGGCCTTTGGAGACGCCTCCTGACATCCTCATTTTCCCAATACGGGCTCACTGTTTGAGCCCAAGATGCAGTGGATGTGCCTGCAGAAGTCCAAGCCTCCAGGAGAGGGCTCACGGTCCTTCCCACCCAGACTGAGACGTCTCAGAGGTGATTGAAACGGCCCCGATGGGACCAAGGTAGGTGACCACCATAGGGTGCGGACATGGATTCCCAGTCGTTTCCACCATCATGCCGCCCCCGGCCCCAGCACCTTGGCCTGGTACAGGGTTTCAGCCTCGGTCTTGCTGGTTTGTGCAATCTCCTCGTACCGAGCGCAGACCTCAGCGATGATGTCCCTGAAGTCCAGGCAGCGGTTGTTGTCCATAGACAGCACCACAGACGTGTCGCTCACCTGGGTCTGTACCTGGCCCACCTCCTATAGGGAAGACTAATTCAGTGTCCACCACCCTGGCTCCCTCTCCCCTGGGTCCTGGTGAAGGATTCCTAGACACTCTACACACTCCGTCAGCCACCTCCAAGCATTCCCACTGGGACACCAAGTAGGGCTGCCCTTCATGGAGCTCGAGCTACTTCTTTGAAAGCAAGGGCCATAGAAGTAGTCTCCAGGGACTCTTACAGATTGGGCCTTAAAAAAAATGGCCCCAAGGCCCAAGATCACCTGTCTCCATCACTCCTCTGACCCATTATCACACTGTCCTCTCATTTCCTCCCCCACTCCAGCCACGTTGACCTCGTTGCATTTCCTCAAAGACACCAACCAGCACACTCAATGCTGCGGGCTTCAACCTTTGCCTAAAATCCCAGAAGCCACCTGCAGGTAATCTGCCTCACCTCCTTCAAATCGTCTTTACTTTCTAAATAAGACCTGTTTGAAATTGCCACCTCCCCACCTCTTCAGCCCTCCTTTCTCTGCTCTCCATAGCACTTACCATCCTCTAACATACTACCTAACTTACTTATTTACTTAGTGCTGATGTCTATCGCCCAACAGGAAGCCAGCTTTGAGTTTTTGTCTGGTTATTCATTGATATAGCCCTAGTACCTGGCAATCCACACAGTGAGTTCTCAGTAACCGCTTGTCCAGTGATTAAATGACCACAAATCTAAGCCACCCTGACAGCCCTCCCTTCATGGTCACTCCCCCTGCCCACCCTGTCCCCTTTATCACTCCCGCCTATCCTTGGCAAAGCCTCACTTCTTCATACAGACGCTTCAAGAAGCAGAAGTATTCCCGCAGAGACTCCAGCTTGCCTTCCAACTCCATCTTGCTCAGGAAAACCGCATCCACATCCTGGAGACAGCGACACAGAATCCATGCACCCCTCACTTTCTCTTGGCAGGCCCTACACTGGCTGAGGAGTTCTATGTACCCATTGCTCAACACCAGCCCACCAGTGTTTCTGAAGACCCACCCCTTCCTCCTCCAACCCATCCTGGCCTGCTCTCTTCTTTGCCCTACACTGACCCATGACGCCTTCAGAAAACTTTCCCTGCTTAATTCCAACCAATTCTGCTTCTTCTCATCCCCCCACCCACACAGGGATACACAGAGCTCATCACGTAGTGCTTCTGTCGGACCTCATCTTGGGCTCCCTTTATCTAAGTAAATGTCCCATTCTGGTGGACAGCTGCACATAGAGTGATGGTGTCAGGACCTCCACCCTCTGCTCTTCCAGCCTAGGACCAGGCTCTATGCACAGTGGGGGCTTAGGATCTGAGTGGAGCACTTGCCCCTCCCACCTTTTTTAGGACCCCAAAGTCATTCTGCACGATGGTGTGCTTGTGGGCCTCCTGCTCATACCTGCCAAGTAAGTAGAAAAGGACACATCAGGTGCCTGCCAAGGTCAGACCCCAAGGCCCGTCCCAGAAGCTTACCCTCCCTGAATAGGACTCCTTGCCTTTAGATGTCCCAAAGCACGACCCATAACTAGCCCTTCTCTCCTTTCGTATCATGAGGTTTTGTAGCATCCTAGTTATGTTTCTGTGCCACTCCTTCAGCCCATGTCTCCTGTGACCATAGCCACAGTTCACAGTTTCTATGGTACATATAAATGCCAGTTCTCAGGCTAGGGGTGTAGCTCAGTGGTAAAGCTCCTGCCTAACACATTCAAGGCCCAGGGTTTGATTCCCCAGTACTGGAAAAAACAAAACCAAATGCCTGTTCTCACTGCTCATAACCATTGCCTACAGCAGGCAAATAGGGTTTTATGAGGGGGAAAAGGAACCCAGATCCCCCTTCCTCCAACTCTCACCCCATTCCACCAGTCCTGGAGGTCAGAAGATGACCTTTTCCCAGCATGCAGATGTGGATACTGGGTGGAAGTTGGGAGGGGAGGAGTAGGTAAGTAGCTTCCCAGCTGCCCAAGGCCACACAGCTAGTCCTCACTCATGGTCTCTCAAGCCTACACCTCCTGTCAGTGCAGGGCTCTCTCCAAACCACCAGGTGACCTAGGTGGAGAGTCCAGAACCACAACCCCACTGTGAATCATGCCATGGGCCTGGAGACAGTGTCACAAAATTGATTTCCTTCCACCCCTGAGACCAGAGGACATCTGAGTCACTTTAGCCCACAGCCTGCTAAACAGGAATTTCTCCAGAAAATCCACTGAGGCATTATTTAAATAAGCCATTCCCATCTCTGTCCAGAAACCTAGGCCTTCCTTGCTGGGCCCATAGGAATGGGACACAACCCACTAGACACAGGTCACCCTGACCTTCCTCCAAGGCTCTCCAGACCTGGGCAGGGGGCTGTCGAGTCTCCTCTACCTGTGAGTGAAGGGAAGGGGGAGGCAGGTAGAAGAGGAGAAGGGAGGCCACTGTGTATCTCTGGGCACTCGGCCTATGGGAGACCCTCAAGCCAGCAAAGCAATCCATGTCTTCCCAGACCCCATAGGAAACCCCATCACCTACTTGGCCTTGTACTCCTCCTCCTGGTCCTGGAAGACCTTCAGCTCAGCATCCAAAGCTCCTCGTTCTCCCTGCAGCTGCTCCAGCTGCCTTCTGAGGTGGGCCAGGCAGGTCTCGAAGACAGGCTCCAAGTCCTGGGGGCTGTCACTCACCTTCAGTTGCTGCAGCAAGTTCCACTTGGTGTCTAGGATCTTGTTCTGCTGCTCCAGGAACCGCACCTGCAGCCAGGCACAGGTCTCTGAGGCTCCTGTGGGATCCCCAGCACAGTCTCTGGAGAGGCAAGCTTTAGGGGCCCTCCTGTGAGCCCCTTCTCCCCTGGCTTCCCCCCACGCCTCTCTGTGGGAGTCTGAGAACATCCACATGGTTGGAAGGACCAACACAAAAGGGTCTTCCTACTGCTGGCCAGTGTTCTCTGTTCCTGAGCCCTAGCCATGGAGCGACCAGTCCTTGGCATAACGAGAGAGACCCCAATTAGACTTCAGGAAGACTCCTTGCTGCCGAAGTGATTAGAAAAGTAGTAGAAGGAGGTCAGACTTGCCCATTCCCAATCTGTCAGGGGCAGCTCCCTGAGGAAACACAGAGGCAAGGCCAGGCCGAGATGCCGCTCACCTTGTCAATGAAGGAAGCAAACTGGTTGTTGAGGGTCCTGATCTCTTGGGTCTCCTGTGTCCTCACCACATGGAACTGGGGGTCAATCTCAATCTTCAGTGGGGTCAGCAGACTCTCGTCCATGGTCACTTCTTGGATGCCCCCAGGTGGGCACAGGGAATGCCCAGGCCCAGCAATCCCCTTTGCAGACCACATCCCAAGCCTTCCCCCTGACCCCCGGACCCTCCCACGGGAGCTCCCTTGGCACCCCCTGAGGTTGCCGAGGCTCCTGCTACTGAAGCCGGCTCTGCCACAGGCCCCTGAAAAAGCAGAACAGGCTGAGCGTGTGCTGAAGCCCCTCTTGACCCGGCATGGAGACAGAGACATGGCAGAAACAGGCAGTCACTCAGCTACAGACAAACAGACAAATGGTCAAGGTGTGTTTGTTCTTGCCCTGGGGCTCCGGCACAAGACTTTTATCCCCTCCCGTACCTGGGTTGGGTCTTGGAGAGCAAGATGCTCTCAGTCTGACTGTGTCTGTCACTTGGCTCTAGCTGACTTGCTCTGACACACCTGGGAAATGGGAGACTGGCACGTGCAGGGCCCAAGGAAGAAGGAGGCCCAGATCATACTCTGGGAGCTCCTGAGCTGGCAGAAGAGGTGGGCCTGCCCCAAAAATGAGGAAGCAGCCAGGAACCTGCACCTTGGTGCTGGGCACTAGGCAAAGTCACAGAGGGCCATTCAAAGAAAGCTTCCTGAAGAGACAGGGGGGACGAGAGAGAGGTTTTCAGAGAAGAGGAGGATGGGGGGTGCAGGTGAGGGAACAGACACCCTGGAGTTGCAGGATAGGGGAGAAAGAAGCTTTCAAAGTGAGACTTGACCTCATGGAGGTAGAGGAGGGAGGCCTTGTGCAGCACTGTGGAGCCAGAAGTTAGTTGAAGTGTCACTGCCATTATTGTCTGAAAGACACTCCAGGATTTGGAAATGAAACAGAAAATCAGGACATCCCAGTCCCTCCTCCAGCCCAACCCAGCAATCATCCAAAAGGCACCACCCGCTCAAAGCAGGCATCTCCAGCCAGGATTGCAGGGAACAGTGCTTCTGAGCCCAGCCAGTGTCCCTGCCCCTCCACACACACAGTGCCAGGCCTCTCCACAGGGGTGGCCAGGTGACCTGATGTCCTGTATGTCTGTGTCCAGGGCACAAGTCAGAGGCACTAAACTCCAAGATAAAATGTACATTTAGAAAACTGTTCCTGAGGCCCCTGAGTTTAAGCCCCAGTACCGCAAAAAAAAAAAAAAAGAAAGAAAGAAAGAAAAGAAAAAAGAAAAAACTGTTCTTGAGGGGCTGGTGGAAGAAACGGGAGACCTGGGCTTCCCCAGATAGATTCTGTCTCAGAGTGCAGTCACAGCACTCCAGGGCTCCCCTAGGATTTTAGACCAACTCCTGCCCTGGGCAGGCTTACTGGGGCATCTAGAAGCTTGCATTCAGATGCTCCCTGCTGGGCTGCAGAGCTGGATGGCTCGGATTCTTAGGGCTGTCCACAGCTTCTTTTTGTGGCAGATGGCTATTGCTCCCTGTATTCATTGTCGTCCCTCCACTCTGAGACCCCCCACCACCACACACACACACAGCTAGAGCCTGGGGCATTCGGAAGGTAGGATACTGGGGTCTTTGTCCACACAACATGAAGCAAGGCCAGCCAGAGACACAACCTACTAAACGCTGAAAAGATGCTATGAGGAAGTCAGCCCTTAGCAATTACAACAATCCCGCAAATGCTCCACCCAGGCCAGGCAACTGTGAGCCAGCCTGTCTCCCCTCCCATCCGGGGATTAGGAGCCCCTTCCTCCTTCCCCCAGCCATCTGAGGAAGGAAGAGATGGGCCCTCAGCGGGGAGAACAAGAGTTCATAGAATGGGAGGGGGGAGGAAAGGGTGGGAAGGTAGGAAAAGGGAGGAAGAGCCAGGATAGAGCTAGGCACCCCAGAGAGAGGGGAAGCAGCACACAGTACAGAGGGAAGAGATTGGAAATGGCTGAGATCTCATTGAGCACCCAGCTCTCAATGAGAGGGGGATTACTTTGCAGTAGCAAGGTTGGGGCCTTCCTATCCCCCATGGACCCTTCCCAAGCACATCCTTGAGGCCCTGTGGGGTAAGAACAAGACCATCCCTATCAGTGTTGAGGGTGGAAACAGAAGTCACACTGGCATGGGGCCAAATTCACCTCCAAAGACCTTCCCATATTTGTAATACTACAAAGTATCAGAGCCAGAAGTGAACTTCAAGGTCATTTGATCCAAACCCTGAGTGCACTTGAGCCCTCTGAGGCCCTATAGTGTGTCACTGCACTCTCTTAGGTAACCTGAGAGGTTGCCCAAGGTGACATCTAAAATTGCCTTGGCCTCAGTCCAAGGCCACCCACACAGTACTCAGGCTGGAACCACCACCCCCACCCAGCTAGCCCACAGCCCCATGGAACAGCCCAAAAAGAGCCTCCTCTTCCATATGTTGACCTTCAAACACCACACGATGCTCCATCCTAACTCCACCATGTCTGTCTGGTCCTCCCCTCCAGCCAACTCAGGGTCTACTGCACATTAGGCATTAGTAAGTATTTGCTTGAAGAGATGAATTTTGACCCATGACAGTCACACTCAAGGGACCCTCTTGAGTCCCCAGATTTGCAAATGCTGCTAGACTACATGCTTCCCTTAAGTAAAAATCGCTTAAAAGACCACTGGGTGATAGAGAAAAGGTACAACAGTTAGGCAATGAAAAAAGGCCCCTCTCCAGCTGGTGGCTGGTTCCCACACACAGATACATGAGATCCCACACTGTAAGAAGTGTCCAAACTGCTTTTTTTGAAAAGCACTGACTCCTTACTTGGGTCCACAAATTGACTAAAAACAGGAGAAGCTTAGCATCCCTTCCTCTATTTTGTATCTGTCTTTGCTCTAAAGCCATTCTCTTTGCAGTTGCTTTGAAATCACCTTGGATTCCAGAAAGGATAGAACTTATAACATCTATATGATAAGAGGCTGAAACTTCCCAAAAGGAACAGTGGAGACTTGTGAGACAGACAACCACCCCAAATGAGCACAGTTACCTGTAATGATGAGGCTGCACCCTGAAGCAGGAGCAAGCATCTCATGGGAACCAGATGGCTCCCCTCAAGTGATGACAGCCATAATATCTTCTCCGAAAACCCTCTGAGAACCCTCGGACTGAGATAATGATCAACCAAAACACACCTGTGACCAGGACTGTTTAACTATGCATACCTTTGTCTCCTGCCCCCAGTTCTTTTGTCTACTTAAACCTGTAGCTCATGTCATACCCAAAGATGGCTGAGGATGGACTGAGTGCTTACTCTGCCTCTTCCCACAGCATGTCTCGATCCATGTAATAAACCTCCTTTCTCTGCCTTCACCATGCCTGTTTATTTGGCATTTAGGGACAGGTAGCTGGACCTGCCATATGGAATCTCATGAGTTTAGGTTCTGGGTTCACAGCTTGTTTCAGCATCAAGACCTTAACACTAAGTCCTGCGGCACAAATGCTCTGTGTCAGGTCCTTCCCCATCTCCCCTGCCCCAGGTTAGCCCTGTCCATCACACCCACACGATGCCTCCCCAACTTGGCCTCGTCCTACCTCCAGGAAAGGCCCTGGCCAGCACCCAGTCCTAAAGCTCTCCAGCAGCCCCTCTCTTGCAGTGTTGTTTGTGATTTTAGAAGCATTTAAAGACATTTTAATGCAGTTATGAGGCATGGATTGTAAATTTCTCAGTTTTTTTTCTTTTTGGTGGCACTGGAGTTTGAACTCAGGGCCTTGTGTTTGCTAAGCAGGCATTCTACCACTTGAGCCACTCTGCCAGCCCCTAATCTCTCATTTTTCAGTTTGTTTTTATTATCTTTTATTATCTTAGGATTGACCCTAAGGCCTTGCACATGCTAGGCAGGTGCTCTACCACTCGAGCCGACCCTCAGCCTCCTCCTCTTGCTATACCACCCCAGGCTCACCTCTGATTCTCCAATATCTTTCTGTCCAAGCCTGGTCTTCTTTGTGTAGCTGGATTTTTGTTTTTGTTGTTGTTTGCTTGCTTGCTTTTTGCCCAAATGCAGGTATTCATTTGTTCATTCGACAAAGCATGGTTGAGCACTGAAAGTAAGGAATTTAGCTGAGCCCAAAGCTGGGACATTGCACTAAGAGACCAAAGAGTCTAGTGGGGAAACAGACACTAAACAGGTAATCAGACAAATCTTTAACTGCAGTTATGGTGAGAGAAAAGAACAGAACACAAAAAAGGCCTAACCTAGTTTAGCCCCTAATTTATTCTCGAACAAGCCAGAACACCCTACCCCAGGGTCTTTGCACTTGCTATTTCCTCTTCCTGGACAGCTCCGCCCCAGATGTCCACACAGGTTGCTCCCTCACCTCTTCAAGTCTTTATTTAAGGACCCCCTCCCTGGTTGCCCTCAACCAAAATTGCAACACTTAGGCCATCCCCCCTCAGCCATATCCTTCCCTGCTTTAGTTCTTCTGACCTAGCACCAATCCCTTCTTCACTCGTTTTGTCAGCCTCCCCGCCCTACACTGTGAGCTCCACAGGGACAGGAATTTAGTTTCTCCAGCTCACTCTTGTGTCCCCTGTGTCCCGGCATTTAGAACAGTGCCTGGCACTGTTTGTAGAGTGAATGAATCCCCATTCAGTTTGGTTTGGTTGATTTCCTGCCATCCTTGCAAGTCTTAATGCTCCTCTCTGAAGCACTAGTCATTCCTCTGCCTGCCCACCTAGGCTGGAAAGCATCCTTGCTCTTTTGAGAAGTGGGGGGGGGGGTAATGCACTACTGATCGTCAACTATTGGCTGAACGCTGAACTAAGTAACAGAGGAGATACCAGAGAGATAAGGCGCCTCTCCACTCTGCAAAGACTATCCAGTCCCACCAGGCATCGGTGGCTTGTGACTATAATCCTAGCTACTTGGGAGACTGAAATCAGGAGGATCACACTTCAAGGCCATCCCAGGCAAACAGTTTGCGAGACTCCATTTCCAAAAATAACCAGAGCAAAACTGGGCTGGAAGTGTGGCTCAAGAGATAGAGTGCTTGCTTTGCAAGCATCTGCTTTGCAAGAAGGTAACCCTGAGTTCAAACCCCAGTACCATCAAAAAAAAGACTGTCCGGTCCCATGGAAGATACACACGTGAACATAAAAAGAACAAGAGTAGGGAGGACCCAGAGGAGGTGCCTCAGTTGTAAATTGATTTCTGGTCAATTTACACAAGGGGATACCACTTTTTACCTTGATCCAATAGCCTGGTCTTGGAGGAAAGCAAGACAGAGCCCTGTGGCACACCACTAAAAACCCTTTCTCATTTGGTGACCT